GGTGAATTCTTCCAGAATGTTTCCCTGCCTCCTGTGCTTTTGATATTTAGACTCGACTTCTGCCGTGATGGAACAGCAAGTCACAGATGCGATGCTCCCGTTCGCTTTCCCTCGACCTTCGTACCTCCTAACCCTAGCCGTAGTCGAGCCCAACCACAGCGCTGCAGGACTGACTTGCATGCCAGTGTTTCGCTGTTTGATACCGTCGCCAAGAAGTGAATACTCTAAGCCATCAAAGTCCATGCGTTGTCTCATAATCTCTGTTGTCCAGCCGTAGAGGCTCATCATACACATCATCGTCCAAGCATTCGAGCAGATGTCCTCTTAGAAGACGGTGCCGTCTGAAATGATACCGATTGGTGGTCCTTTGGTGATGGGACGGGACACCTGCGCAATTTCACGACCTCCCTATGATATTTTGTTAGCTTGAGTCGTGTTGTAAGTCTTTTGAATGACTCACTTTCCAGGTACCCGCCTCAAGCATCTGTGCCAATGTCAGCTGTTGAGGGCCCTGAAGACCCAGACCCGCGTTGACGGTGTTGAGAAGCTCGTCTAGGAAACCGACGGTGACAGCCCTCCATTCCACTATGACATCGTCGCTGGGTTCGAAGGTCGGAACCACCTCAACTGCATTGCCATCGCCCACCGTTTCATGATAGATCTTGAGGCCGCGCTGTCTGTCAGCCTCTTTAAGAGTGAGCAGACCTGTATCGACCAACAAGCCGCCGTTCCGATACTCAGGAAGACCAGTCATCAATTCAGCACCCGCGAAACGAACATTCAGTAACTTGGTCATTGGAACCATCAGAGAATAGCAAAGCCACTGTGTAAGTTTGTGGAAAGGAACAATGGTCTCCCAAGGCTGAGCAGGCGGAGACCTAGGCATAGCTTCACAAGGCCAGGCATCTCCGAGAGGAACACCTTGGATGCTGGTCCGTGTCGCCGGCCATATGGTCGACAGCCCGTCCATAAGTACACTCCACAGTGTTGGTAGTAGCACGACAGGGACGGAGGCGGCTTGGGTGGTCGGATGCGAGATCAAATAATCTGGAGCCTTTAGCAGACGTCGAGCTTCACCGATAAGGTCTACACTTACCAATCATATTCCCAGGGCGACCGTCAACCCCAAAGATCTCCTCATTCTGGAGGGCAGAAGCGAGCCTGATCAGTAGGCCAGTGCGGCCTTCGAGCCCGGACATCGGGTTCGAATCTGAAACTTGCATCCCCTTGGCCAGAGTCTCGACCGTGACCTTCTTCAGACCTGCTGCATCAACTTGATGAGGTTGGGTCGCGTCACTGCTGAATGCGCCCGCCTTGAACATTTCCAAACTCGCCACAGCCAAGCCTTCACTCCTCGCGTACACCTTGCCGGACTCCTTAGACTTGTAGGACCATTTTGTCCCTGCTCCCGCATCGAGTAGTACTGATACGAGGAACAGGTCGATCAACCGCCGCGTTCTCTCCTGATTATCGATTGAAGTCGGCCATGTCTGCAGCAGCTGAGTCACTCTGGGCCTCCCGCCAACCTCAAAATGCTGCCACCGACCATGTGGCGGTATCGAAGCGTAGTCGCCTTCGAAGTCCCGCTGGAAGTTGTTAGGCCGCGTTTCGTGTATCAACGCTGGAAGGGGCGCTAACATACCCTGATGATGGAAACAACGTAGTCGGCAGTGTCCTTGAACTTAGTCATGTCGACATCGAAATGGTTGAGGGCGTTGACTTTAGCCTCATCGAGGACCAATCGCGACCTTTCTCGAACGGCATGAATGCTTCGAAGGTAAGCTGCTGGCTTTGTCCGTGGGTCTGGGGGGTCAGGGATGGTGACTTCAGGCATGGCTCCTCCCAACGATGGCGAAGATGAGGTCGAGCTTACGAGCGTTGGCGACTTATGGGAGTAGTTTGAGATACGCTCAACAGTGACAGCCGGCCGTAGAAGCGACTTATTGCCGTCTGGAAGGGGTTTTGTGTCTTTTCTTTTGAAAAGTCCCTTCATGGCGGAGAAGGCCTATCCACCCACCACTATGACCTATCACGGCGGACCTCGAATGCAGGTAGCCGACAGGCGGCCGAAGCGCAAGTGTCACAACTCCAGCGGTAGGGGAGGGTTGATATGGAGGCTCGGGCCATGCGTTACTTCTGGATGTCTGCGCGCAACGGAACACGATCTTATGAATCGGTGATTGTCTGAGGCAAGTCGAACTCAAAACACTGTCTAAGGACGACTTTTGATGCGACAACGTGTCGAGGTTGCAGCAACCGTCCCACAACGCGACTGGAGCGAGAAATGTAAAGAGTGACCTATGACTGGACAGCCGGGCGAAATACGAGAAATGAACCGAGACAGTGAAAACAGTGTGCTGGCTTTACTGACTTGAGCACAAGAAGCGAGAAATGACAGAGACCGAAGTGAGGTGAGACTGATTGCTGGGTGAAGCCCACCGAGCAGCAATGATCAAGGTGCGTCTCTTTGAATCGAGAACGCCTTTCTATTAAACAACAGTCACCTTTTTGCTGCCCTTCCCACAGATAGCGACCGCGTTTGATTGAGGTCTCAATGATATGCAGCGTTCAGGAGAACTGGAGGGGATCTCTCATAGGCGAGCGATGACTCCGTACTCGTGCTGTCGTCTCGATTGCCGCAACCACGCGGAAGTGCGAGCATGGCGCAAGACCATAGCGCCCCCGACATGTTGGGGGCGTTGGCGGACGGCCTTCCAGGTGCAACCAGTGCCTCCCCTCTTCGGCTCCAGCTCGCTTTAGGCTAGCTTAGGCCAGGACTGTCCTCCATGCCAGCGCGCCAAATCGACCTGAACAGTTTAGTGCCGCCCCAAATATTCCTTCGTCGTGGGAGCCTGTCGCGCGTGGCCGCCACGCAACCCTGTGTCGGAGAGCATCGTTACCGATCACACCCCTCCGACCCCAGGCAGATGGTAAGCGTCTCGCTTCTCAAGACCGACAGAAGGCAGCAGTGTTGCAGCATCCGCTCGTAAGCCACTGACAACACCCCCAGGGTCTGGCCACCCTCGTAGGGATTATATAAATGCCAGCACCGTTTCTTCTCCCACTGTCTGTGGCCGGTCTTATCTCAATCCCGAGTTGCCCGACCAGGATGCAAGCTAAGAGTAAGCTCTGATCGTTGTACAGCGTTAGCACTCCATCGTCGAGATCTGAAACACCTAGCATTTCTTAACGTCCAAGGGCGACAGGCACGGCTTCTCGTCCGAAATTTCACACTGCTTAGATTGCGCGACGAAAACGGAAACGGCTTGCTTTAAACCGGATGCATGATCAGATGGAGGCTACTGTGCAAAACGGCCAGAGGCAGAGTCGCTTGTGTTCGCTCCCCGCCGAGATCAGAATCCAGATTTTTAGACTGGCGTTGACTGCGGATGACGACCTCTCCAGACCATATCGAGCCGATCGCAAATACTACAGACCACACTATCAATGCCATCAGAAGATCAACTTCTCGCTGCTTTCCACATGCAAACAGATCTATCGGGAGACTCGTTTGCTACCGATTTCGGCCAACGAACACGTGTTCTGGTTGTTTAATGGTCCCTGGAAGCAAATCAACCAGAACAACCGTAATACTGCGCGCTGGGACTCCTGGTATTTCAGCTTGAATGAAGCCCAGAAATCGGCGATTCGGAAGGTCCATATTTTTGCCCAACAGTACTATCTGGAGAACCTCATTACCACTGATGCCAGAAGGTTTCCATTCAAAACGCATTGTCTGCATTTGACCTTTCGTCATTCCGACTGGTGGTCATGGGAATCTCCACCAGCGTCGAGCGATCGCCTTGGTATTTGTCCATGGAGACCTCATCGTACCTCGTGCCAGGAAATGCTCGCGGAGCCAATCCAACCAGACCTGGCTTATATCAGGGAGCGAATGCTCGAGGGGACGTGGGGAGGATCGATCTGCCAAATTCCTAATCTACGAAAGCTTGTGCTGGAGTTCGAGACTGACGAGAGAAAGAAGTCACAACTCGACGCGGTCGTCGAAAGAGCCAAGGGTTGGAGCTTCCCATTGGCTTGGGAAGATCTTGTGCTCGAATGGAGTGGGCAGCTGAATGAGTCTCGTTGGGAAGGTGTGCCAGATCTCAAGGATGACTATCACTTTCTGAAGGAACAGCCTGTCCGGGACGACCTACCCAAACGCCAATACTACGTTGTCACAATGGTCTGGGAGGCCAAGCCAGTGAGCATTTTGGTCGAGTGATTGAATAACTTGTCGCTGAACACGGATGTGGTATCGTGGCGTTGACGATACCATGGGCGAGGCGAGCAAAGACTTACAAGCCACGCGATGGGTAGCAGGTCGCTGAAATTTGGTCGCTTCTATAATGGGTAAAGAGTATGGCTGCCTGAATATGTGGCTGTTCCATGCTCAGTTAACTTTCCGCTGAGCCCGTGATATTGGCAGGAGGGACTCCGTATGTCGGTCGACGTTTCCAGTCCTCAGTACTACTCCTCTCAATAGTCTGAATGTTTCGAGTCTAGCAAATCTCTTGTCTCGGGCTTTCGTTTTCATCGTTTTCACCTGCACATCTGCACATTTGCACGATATCACCACGCGACCAAGTTGGAGCCCATTCATCGATAAAAGCTTGAAGGTGTAAGATAAGAAGACATGACGGGGCTCGCACGCTTGCAAACGGTTTCCTCCTGCCACTCTGGCGCTCCCTAGAATTGCGGCTCTAGCCCTCTGTGACCTCTCTAAGCCCTGATTAGGGTGGCCCAAAATAGAGGCCAATCTCTGTGAGAGGCGCAAGAAGGCGGTTTCGGTCTCGTCTCACGAGTCCTGTGGCTGTGACTGTGGCTGTTGATATCTGTGGCGCAGGCGGCTCACCCAATGCGCACACCATCAACAGTGATCGGATTGTACTCTCTTCCCCGGCTCCGACCCTCGTTTGTCTTGCCTCTTAGCAGCTAGGCCTTCTATTCAGGACGCAATGAACCCGTGTTGATGGCTCCGTCCTGCTCGCGCCGCATCCATGGACGACATCGCGGGGTTAAACTGGGATTCGACCCCAGGTAACGGACAGAAACCAGCGACGTTGACCTCGACCTCGACCTCAAACTACTCTGCCTTTAGCACATTAAAACCCACCCCTCCTGCTTCTGGACGGGCGTCTCCGCTCAATCCAGCTTCCAGCCAAGCCCCCTCGAAACCCTCGACCCCTGCCAACGACAGTTTCGCGAACCTCATCTCGTTCGGGTCCACGTCGAACAAGAATCTCTCATTACTAGAACAGCAGAAGAGGCAGGCCGAGGCAAAACTTCATGAGCAAAAGGCTCAGCATCAGAATTTGACTGCCCAATACGCCGGAGGGGACGAGCAATTCTGGAATAACTTGGGCAGCAGAAGGGGTTCGCCCGCCATCAGTAATACGAAGACGCAGACCACGCGCACACGAAATAACGCATTGGACGACGACGACGACGACGACTTGTTTGCCGCTTTCAACAAGTCTCCTCCAGCTGAGAATGGGGGTAAACCCGCTTCCGTAGAGAGGGATGCTACGAATAATGACGATGACGATCCTTTTGGCCTAGCAGAGGCCGGGCCACGACGAGCTGACACTGCGGCTACAACTACTACGGTAGACGATGACGACGTGCTGGGCTTGCTGGGGAAACCAGTCTCTGCTCGGCAAAGGCATGAATCTCCACCCCCAGCAAGGAGGAATGGCCCTACCAATCTCCACCCCCAGGACCAGGCGGTGGCCGAACTTGTCGATATGGGATTCCCTCCAGAGAAGGCCAAGGTTGCACTAGAAGCTACAGAGTCTGGGCTTGACGTTCAGGCTGCTGTAGGCATCCTTCTCAACCAGGCACATGCAGAAGCACGTCAGAAGACCCAATCAAGAAATGGCCAGCGACAAGGAGTGGATGAATGGGCGGAAGGACAACAATCGCGAGTAACAGCACGCTGGGACGACTCCGAGACCTCCCGAAAAAGACCGGAGGGCGCCGCTCGTGCGCAAGACAGGGACATTGAAAAAATGGCAGCTGAGTTTGGGGCCAATTTTTTCAAAACCGCCAACTCGTTGTGGAAGCAAGGGACAAAGCAGATACAGAAAGCAGTGCAGGAGTTCAACTCGGACACCGAGTCTGCCGCCGCTCAGCCCAAGTGGATGCGGGAGACTGCAGAAAGACCCGCGCGGAAGGAGCATCAGCCACGCGAGCAGGAGGTTGAGACAAAGTCTACTCAGAGAAGAAGAAGCCCAGGAGCTCAGGTTCAATCAGACCTGACGAATGAGGCGATGATGCTGGAAGGGAGTCGACCAGCACCGCCCTCGAGGCCGTCAGCTTCGTCGCAACGACCAGAGAGAAGCTTCATTCCTGGTGGCGACAGTTCTCGTGACCGTTCTCCAGCCATGCCTTCTCGACTTAGGGAGTCACTTCCGCAGACTCAGCCGGTGTTTTTACGGCAACAGAATCAGTCGCCGGCCGCTGGCTTAAAAGCGAGTCTTAATAGAGCAGCTGCAGAAGAGCAAGCGGCTCAAGCGTATGTCAGCTCCGCTCGAAGACGGAAGCCTCAATCCCAACCTCCTGCCTCGCCCCCGCCAGTGTCCAATGCAGAGACAGACCTGCTTGAAGGCAGCTTCAAAGATTCTGCCCCCAAGCCTTCACGCCAGGCAGCACCATCAATAGCAGGGAGGCCTCATCCTCCTCGTCCTCAAACTCATACCGCGGTATCAGCCTCAACACCACCCATCCAAGTCCGGCCACCACCCCCAAACCGCCAAGTCCCGTCCGTCTCGGCCATCGCGCTGAAAGCCAGCCACACAGCTCGAGAGAAAGGCAACGATCACTTCAAACGCGGCGATTACGCCTCCGCCCATCAAGCCTATGCCACCTCGTTGTCCCATCTCCCGGATTCTCATCCCCTGACGATAATCCTCCTGACAAATCGGGCCTTGACAGCCCTCAAAACCGGCGAACCCAAATCCGCGATCCTCGACGCCGACAAAGCGATTGGCATCATCGGCCCGAGTAAAGGTGAAAACGAGACTGTCGACGCGGGGGATGATACCGTCAAACCCATGCGCGAGTATTACGGCAAAGCCCTCATGCGCAAAGCCGAAGCATTGGAGCAAATGGAAAAGTGGGCGGACGCGGCACTCGTATGGCGCGAGGCCGTGGAAGGTGGACACGGTGGTGCGACCAGTATCCAGGGGAGAATGAGGGCCGAAAAGGCAGCGAACCCGCAGGCGTCGAGACTCAAGCCAGCGACCCCGCAAGTACGAAAGACGGCGTCCGCGCCGCCAGCGTCTCAGAGGAACGCGGCAGCGTCAGCGAAGCCAGCAGAAGCGGTCTCCCGACTCCGCGCAGCCAACGCCCTCGCGGAACGGCAGGACGATGAGAAATTCCGGCTCTCGGATGCAATTGACGCACGCATCAATTCCTGGAAAGGTGGCAAGCAGGACAATCTGCGGGCCTTGTTGGGCAGTCTAGATCAAGTGTTGTGGGAAGGAAGCGGATGGAAGAAGATCAGCATGGCCGATCTGGTGCTCCCGGGCAAGGTCAAGATTCAGTACATGAAGGGGATCGGGCGAGTGCATCCTGACAAGGTACGTCTCAGAGTTTTGCAACTTGGGTCGATGGTGACGGGAGAAATCCTTGGTTCCGGAGGTGCGTGCACACAGGCTGACGATTCAACGGCACCAGATTCCTACGGATGCCACCACCGAGCAGCGAATGATTGCGGGCGCCGTGTTCAGTACGCTGAATGAAGCGTGGGACAAGTTCAAGGCGCAGAACAATCTATAAACGGACGCAAGTATGACCCGATCGAGGTACTCTGGGCAAGAACCGCAAGGCAATATTCTCCGCTACTCGGGCTGGCGCAGATCTGGTGTCTCAGGAAGCGGTACTCCGTAAAACTGATAGAAAACGTTCGATGTGCAGGCGGAACATTGCACACAAGGGGTTTTGCCCGAACCCAGCAAGATACAGTAGTTTTACAGCTCCTCGGCCAGTTGTCCTCTCCTCTCCTCTCCTCGCCCCTGTCCTTACTTCTTCCTCTGGGCCGTCTTGGGTCCCTTGTTGGATTTCTTGCCTTTGGTCTTCTTCGTCCCCCGCGCCGCCTTGGCGGCCATGCCTCTCTTCACGCGCAACGCTCGTTTCCTCCAAGCCAGCCATCGATCACTGCGATCATATTCCCGGACCTTGACGCCTTTCCGCTCCGCTGCTCGACCGATCGACGCGTTCGCCTCGCGGAACGTTCCCTGCCTGTTGAAGGGCGCGGGTGGTGCGGGCGTGGGCACGACACGGCCCGACCTGAACGCCACCTGGCCTGGCGTCCCGCTGCAGCTGCCGGTGCTGCTCGCGCTCAGATGTGCCTCCAGGAACGACGCATCCACGCTCTTCTGCGCCTCGGGTGGCGGTTTCATCGGCGCAGCATACATGCCCAATCTCCTTCGCGAGGGTGCGTTTCGCGGCGTGGGTAGTTGGGAAGCCGGCCCTTCCTTGGCCAACGCCACGCCGATGAAGCGTCGCTTCGGATGTTTCAGAGGGTCGCGATAGTATCGCACGTAGCCGTACTCGAGCGCGAAGAGCGTGTGGTCTTTCCCGATGCCGACGTTTTCGCCGGGGAACCACTTCGTGCCTGTGCCCGATAGTAATGTCAGAGGTGGTGGTGGTGGTGGAGGAGGAGGAGGAGGAGGAGGAGAAATTAATCGTGTGAATAGCAGAGGGGGAGCGGGCGATATTTCCCAGCGAATATAGGTAGGTTAGGTCACCTACCTCGTTGCTTGAAGATGATGTTGCCCGGGTGGACCCATTCCGAGGAGCCCTTTTTGGCGCCTAGTCTCCTACCTGCCGAGTCGGAGGGTCCGTTGGCTCGACCCTGCTGGGCGTGCGAGGCGTGGCGGACGAAGATCGTCGAGCTGCGCGGTTGGAGGGGTGTGTGTGCGTGCTTTGAGCAGAGGGCCAGGGCGTTCAACGACGATGCCAGGGCGGCAAGGGAGGCGTCCGGGGCCGCGACGGGCCTGTGTATTCGAGGTTGCAGCATGATATGGCCGATGGGTGGAGGACGGATGAGAAGAGAAATGGGAAGCGACTGGAGTGCCGGCAATGCAATGCGTGCTTGAACATCTCAAGATGGAAGGATGAAGATGAAGCTGCAGTTCGGAAGTTACAGTCGCGCTAACCGCATTGGGCGATGCATACAAGGAGGAGAATGAGACACGGTACACAATATTCTGTACGTACCTAGATTTACAGAACAATTCTCACGTTCACATCTCGTCCCGTTTGCTATATCCAGCGGAGTATACTCCCAGTATATCCAATATGAAGACAGCGCTCAGTATGGTTCTCCTGCTCGTGGGCCTGGCTTCGGCGCAGTTCCAGTTTTTCGACCAGTTCTTCCACGGCGGCCACCAGCAACAGCAGGCTTCTCAGGAGAAGCAGAATGTGGCCAGTGATTCGAATTGGTATCGTCAGAATTGGGAGGGTGGTAAGTTCTCAACCTTAGCCTTTTGTCTATGAATTCCTCGTCACGCATGGCGAACGACTGCTCTGAGCAAGACAATATTGGCTTCGTGGATCATTGGACTCTGCAAGCAACATCTACTGACTCGACTGTCTATCCTGCAGCCACATGCGACAAATATCTATGTCCGGATACTCTCGCTTGTGTCCACTTCCCTCACCACTGTCCTTGTCCTCATCCCGGCGTTGAGGATAAAGTCGAGTTAGGCGACGGGATAGCTATATGTGCTAGTAAAGGGGGATTCAAGGCTGGCGAAGCGGCTCGCAAAGTCGAATTGGCAAGGAAAGGTCTATTATGATGAATTTCTATGGTCACTCGCGTTGTTGGAAGGGGTGTCGGCTCCAGTACCCGTCGACGCCCTTCTGTTCTCAGTTCTGTGAAGTCAAGGCGATATTCGTGGTGTCAAACTTTCGCTGCAATTGCGCTGTTTGGAAGCGACTAGGCTGGGCATCCCAGGAGAGCCGTCGCCGTCGATGTCGATCGAGACAATAGCGTATGTGAGCCCCCGGAACGAGGGCGTATTATTGCTCGTAGGAGGGAACCAGTCTTGGAAGAATGCCGGCCGGTAGCCCTTCAATGGCATTCAAGCGGTGCTCCAAGCAGAATGGATCATCCACGAAACTGTCTTTCCCTGGCCGGAGCGAGTGGTTCATAACCTGACCATGACTCCGACCATTGCGCCCTGCCTTTCCAGTCCGCTCATTACTACTACTCGTACAATCAGGACTTGGTCATGTGTCTGGACAGGTGGATATCGTTACATTCCGAAGGCCACGATCTGCAGCCTTACGGAATGTTCGATGATGCTTCCATCAGTCTTACTCGCAAGCAACGGCTAACGGCTTCCGCGGATCGCACCTGATGTGGGACGTACCTTGCATCGTATTGTTGTTGTTTGACAGTCGCCATGTCCAGCATAGTTCCCTGTCACCGCGAGCAACAACCAAGGTCCCGTCCCCTGCAGGTGAGTGTTCTCGTGACGTTCACCCCTCACGAAACCGGTCTGAGAGGGAGCGCGGCAGGGAGCTATGGACAATGAACAAGGGGGTGAATGGGCAGGGGCCGAGCTTCCGATTGTCCCCGCATAGTCGATTCTCAGCAATATCGGCCGCCTGGAAATGCACACCAGCAGGGGGTGGTCGCTTAGGGCCCATGTCCCCTGGTTCTCGAGCCGACCAGGCAGAAGTGCATCACATGGCGGCACGCATGCACTGCCCCACGACAAAGTGAGGCTTCGGGAGGCTCAGATGGTGACTCCCTGCCTTTGAAGAACAGTTCTGTCCTACACTTGCCGACGCCCATCGATAATCCATTCACCTCTTCTGGATGCTTTCGCTCGGGCCGGACGCATGGCTCACTTCATCGAGGCCACGCCATACACAGCTGAATCCCTCGCGCTCAACACGGTGGTATCATGGATCCCTTCTCGTTAACGGCAGGCGCCCTCCAGATAGCCGGTGCTTGCGCGCAATGTACGGTTACCATCATCAAGATTTGCGGCGACATCAAGTCTGTTGATGCTCGGATCAGCTCCTTCTGCGATGAAGTCGGCGCTCTTCGGGCGACCTACGAAGGCCTCGAGAAGAGCTTGTCGTCTCCTCTCCTGTTGGAGGCTGCACGAGTGGCCAGCCAAACGTCCGACGGGTCTCATCTGTGGAAACAGATCAAGGATGCGCTCGATGACTCCAAGAAGACGATGAGAAGGGTCAACGATATACTCCTCCAGATCACAAAGGCATCGGGATTCGCCCGCAAAGTCAAAGCTCACCTGACCGAGAGTCTGCATTCTGGCGAGCTCTCGCGACTACGACAGCGCATCCAATTCTTCAATGCCGCTCTATCATTGCCCATCCAGATGGTCTGCGTGATGCTCCAACTGGAGCAAAGAGGGATGACAGTAGACCACCACAACGCTCTGGATCTCAAACTGGTATCGCTAGAACAGAACATTAGAGACCTTGTCCAAAGGCTCAGCTTCCCTTCTCGCTCACAAACCCTCGGTGGTACCACTATCGCTGCCGCGGACAGCATGAAGCTCAACGAGGATGACGGAATGAAGACGTATATTGCTTTCGCCAAGAAGTTCTTGACTACCGCATCCGCTGCCGCCAGCACGAGATCCTCGTTGAGCACCATGTCTCCGGCCATTGAGCCCGACGTTCTCGACGGACGTAAGCACTCAGCGCACGGTTTGCCCCCACCAGGCGACCATAGAAGCCATGTGGAGGGCTGGATCCAGCCTGCTTCTGCGGGCACGATCCCTCAAAGTCCGCAGACCGGCGGAAACGGTCGGCGGAGCCTTGGCTCCTCTACAGGCGATATGGAAGACGACAATGAAGTGGAATTCATGAGGACCAAACAACACCTCAGATTAGGACAGGAGAGCTTCGAACAAAGCGAGCATGCCAAAGCAGAAAGACACTTTCGGCGAGCTTTGGCTCTTATGCAGGACCACGACTTCGACGGGAGAATATCGTTTCAGCCAGCAGAGGTAGTCCTCATGCTGGCCGAGTGCTGCCTGAAACAAGATAAACTTGACGAGGCGGTGGCCCTGCTGGAGCCTGTCGCTGCCATGCGCCCAGACATCTTTCCGAGCACCTCGCCAGACGACACACATTCTGACAGAAGACACTCCTCACCCAGTCGAGGGCCTGATAAGCTCCAAGCTCTTGCGGCGAGCCACATGTTGGGCCGGGTTTTCGTTCTGAAAGGGGATTTTGACAATGCAGAAAAACAAGGGTTAAGGGCGTTTACCGAGCGGAGGAAAGATCTGGGTCCGCAGGACGACAAGACGCTGGAGTCAGTCCGCCTGGTCATTGAGATATACAAAACGCGTGGGCAGGAGGGAGACGAGGAAGAGGCTGAAGGCTACGAAGTCTTTTTGTCGACGCCGGAGAAGCAGACTCCGGCGGCGTCGACAGACAAGCTACTGACGACGGAAAAGGAAATACCACGCTCAATACCAAAACTCATTGCTCCAGAATCCGCTCAACACGAATACCTACCAAACGTGCCGCGGTCGAACTTTGTGCGCCGCATCAAGCATCTCGGCCGCTCGTCTCAATCCGGGCCGGCACAGTCGCCTCCCTCACCCAACTTGCAGAGACTGTCCATCTCAAGGTCGCCGACATTGAACGACCCCCAGGAGCCAGATGTCCCTGCCCTGTTCGGTGCTCGAGGTATCAGCTCGCCCTCCGAAGCATCAACGCACGACCGAGCCTTTTCCATGAGCGGCGACGATGACTCGATCGCAACGCCCTCTACGGGACGACTGTCTCGCTCGTCATCGAGCAGGACCCTCGAACCGACCTTCCAAGCTATAGCCGACCTCTGCAGTGAAAAGAAATTCGATCGAGCTGTCAAGGTGGCGATCCAGTTCCTTGAAACATACCCGTCGAGCTACATGGTCATCCGGAAGTCGGAGCTCAAGGAGAACATCAAGCATGGACACGGACAGGGACTGGCCAGGACGGGGCGAGGATATTCACCTCTCCATTTCTTCTGCGAGCTCAGGGAGGAGCACGCCGAGGAAGTCAACCTCCTGATCAGGCAGGGCGTGGACGTCAACGCGATCGCCTTCCAAGCCGGGTATACCCAGTCAAACCCCAAGGATCCATTTACCGCCCTGCAGCAGGCGACCGAGCGCGGGTTTTCCACCATCACCAGTCTTCTATTGGGAGTCGAGGGCATCAAGACCGACACCCGTGACCCCGAGGGATACACGCCGATCATGGTCGCGTGCAGAAAAGGCCACCACAGCATCGTCAAGCAGCTGTTGGACTTTGCGCTGCCCAGGGAGTTTCCTCAAACCTGGCACGGCAATACGCTCCTTCATGATGCTTCCCGCCGGTGTGACCCCATCTTGGTGGAGATGCTACTGGAACATTACGTGGACATCGACGCGCGTGATCGATTCGGCAAGACAGCGTTGATGCATGCTGTGGTCAAGTCCGACATAGCTGATCCTGTGGAGAAGAGGAGACGGATCCAAGGCCGGTGCAAGACGGTGCAAATCTTGCTTGAAGCCGGCGCCGATCCGACGCTCAAAGACCACAGGGCCAATAGGACTGTGCGAGATTATGCCGCTGAGGAGGACGACGCTGAGTTGCTGATGCTGTTGGATCAGGCTCCCAGGAGGGGGATCAGCGAGTTGGTGGCTTGAAAGGGTAACTTTCATCCATCAGTATACGGCGATGCTTTGTGCATATGGAACACGAGTCAATGATACCCCCGGAAGGTCAGGGACGGACTATTCCACACGACATGCCCCCTCTTGTAAATTACAATCAAGAACAAACAGGGATATGTCTCTCGGCTTCGCTAGCCAGTTGAGCCAAACATGGAATATGCACTCACTCAACTGTTTCAATCTCGCCTTTCATTGCGACAACTCATCAATCAATGCATTAAGCCGCCCAGAGCCTGGGACATGTCCCACTCGTCCAGAATCTCGGCCTTGAGCGCCTCCAAATCCACGTCGGCGGATCCAGTGCCCGTCAGCCACCCCGACATGGCCCTCGCCGTGGCTTCTCTCGACACAATCGCGTGAGCAAGCAAACGCACAAACTCGATCGTCTCCCACGACCGAACGAGCGGATCCGGCCCAAACCACTCCCCGACCTCGACGGCCGACTGGCCGATCATGAACGTCATGGCCACGGGCGTCAACCTCTCGCCACTCCCCGTGATGTTGTACACCAGCCGATCCATGAACCCGGCGGGCTCCGCCGCCATGATCATGTTCAACAAGTGCAGATTGCCAAGATGCGCGCCAGTAAAGCAAAACGGCTCGAAATACCGCCGAATGCTCCGTGGGACGGGCCTGCGCGCGCGAGGCAGCCTCATCCGGCTCAGCGCGTCGAGGATCTCGCCGCGCGTGCGAAACAGGGGCACCTGCCCGACGAGGAAGGCGTGCAGCATGCCCAGTCCCAAGTGCAGGCCGATCTCCTGGAAGGTGCGCAGGCCGTTGCGCAGCCGCAGCAGCTGCAGCAGGCCCGTGAAGTGTTTGTCCGCCAGCTCGACGTTGCCCAGACGCGTCTCGGCCAGCGACGCGACGACCAGGTGCAGGAGCGTCGTGTCGAGGAGGAGGTTCTCCGGGTTTTGCACCACTTTGCGCGTCTCGGCGTAGATGGCCGCGCGGCGGGCGTAGACGGCCGATTTGCTCGCGCCCGTCATCATCTCGGCCATGAAGATGATCCATTGGAGGAAGAGTGGGCTGTCGGCGATGGAGACGACGGTGCAATCCCTCACGGGGCAGTAGACCGGGGTTTTCGACACGCCGTGCACGACTCGTGGCGTGGTGTCCAGGTCTGGGTGAGTGGGGCGAGAAAGTTAGCGAGGCCGTGGGCGGAACAGTGTGTGCAGTTCATCCAACCAGTATGATACAGTAGCACTGCTGGTAGGTACCAGTCCAGGACGGGCCCCGGACACGCAGTAGTACCTGAGGCGAGGCGAGGCGACAAATGCGCATTGGATGAATCTCTGTGCGCCTTTTGCGTCTTGTACAAAGCACAACAGAGCAGTACTTGTGTGCTTAAGCACCCTTACCTTCATTTGTACCGAATATCACGCGGACAAGGGGAGGGGGAATGACCACGACTCACAATAAAATAACAGATTCCGCTCCTTGATGTCCAATTCCGCAGGGAGCTGAAAGAACGGATCGAGCGGTCCGGTCTTGATCCACGCCAGGCCCTGCGATTGCTGGGCCTTCAAGGTACGCTGCTGCGGCTGCCGGTCGTCCTGCTCAGGTGCTGCACCCGGTTTGTCCACCACAACAGGCAGTAGCCAGGGCGAATACGATGGCAGAGGGCCCGCCACCGCACTTGTTTGGGACTGGTGCTGCTCTCTCTGCTCCCCAGACTTGGGGCGATTACTGGTACTGGCCCCCTTTCTTCCGGCGCGATGGTGAGCAATACTCGCGGCGTGGGCTCTCGCTTGCTGGACCTCCAGTTCTGCCTCGTGCTTGCTCTTACGCGTTGACGGCGTTTTGGAGGGCAGGAACAGCAGTTTGATATGGGCCATCGTGGTGAGTCAGCTCATAGACCAATTAGCGAACCAACGAACCAATACGTGCGATACACACGCCCGGCACCCTCACCCTCACTGACGGATGGACTGCGTGGTGATGAGATGATCGCTCGACCGCTCGCTTGGCTGCACCGTGCCCGATGTGGTCTTCGCCACGTGTGTGATCTCCGTCAATTCGTCGCTCCCACTGCTACACGTGCGAGTACGGGTACCGAGATCAGTACATACCGCGGCAGTAGGTCGACCACGTCAGTAGCGCAAGTAACCGGACCAAGCTGCTGGTACCGGTGTCGGTGTTGGTGTCGGTGTTGGTGTCGGTGTTGGTGTCGGTGTTGGTGTCGATGTTGACGTTCGTGTTTACTGATCACATCGTTCCCATGTGGCGCTTCTGTCCGAATATAAAGGACATCGGGTATCATCCCCCGCCGAGTGCATGCTCCCTCTCGTCCTCGCCCAGCATTTGTCATGCCCTTGCAGCTGGGGGCCGCGCTGGCTCGGGAATTTCGCCACGATTGTTGGCCGAACGGAGTGGTTGACGAATTGCAAGTGCATGGCCTGGGACGCCGTCGCGCCAGTCGCACCACCGCGCTGCGTGGCTATCCTAGGTTAAGTTTGATGAACGCAGATGAGTGGGTGATGGGCACCTTTTACCAGAAATGGCAAATGCCAAATACAGGGCGTCGGATGGAAGAGGCTGACCAATCATGGTAGTCGGCATCGTATGCACAGAGGAGAGCGGATGAACCTGGGTGCTTGGGTAAAGCAGAGTTGTATAGGTCGCAGTGTGCTCTACCTATGCGGTTTGTGCTTGTTGGGTTCGTTCAAGATCGTGCTGGCAACACAATAGCTAGGAAATTATATTTGATATCAGCGAGCCAGAGGATGTTCAAAAGATGAGTTGAAATGTGGATGGTACGCACACAGCGAATGCCGTGAGCTTGGAATGCATGGCTGAGGACCACCTTGGGGAAAATATGGGTGACTGATAGGTGATATAGTATGTGAAGGACGTATCGGGTATATGCAAGTATCGCCACCAATGTTCGACTCATGCAACTGAGCCATTGTCACTTGCCTACCGTCGGCTTGCCTGCTGCCATCAGCGTTCCTCCCCCAAGTGTCTCTGGAGGTCGATACATCGTCTCGAGCCGAAAATCCTTTACCCAGTATGTCTTACCAAATTGCTGATTTGGCTAGAGTATGCATTTCTAGGGTCATCCCTTGACACCTGATGCTCGTACGATCACATCCTTGGGTGACAAGTCGCCAGTCTCTTGGTTCAAGGCCGGTATTAGCCCTTCACCACACCTGTACCGATACGACTAGCGATCTGTGACTGATACTCTTCGTACCGGATCTGCGGACTAGTGAAGCTCGCGATGCTCGCCGGTCGCTGGACCTCGTCCCAGTCCCTATTCGCAGTGTTCTCGGGCGTCCCCAATAGACCCTGCTCCGGAGTCGGGCCCGTCTCGTCACCGCCGTCCTCAAGGTATTCGCTTCCTTTCGCTTCCTCCGACTGGATAAGGGGAGCTTCGACAGCAGAACGGTCCTCGGGTGGGACCTGATCGGCAAGGCCAATAGCGGCGTTCTTTCGTCTTTCGCGGGCGCGTCGGATGCGAGCGTACAAGAAGATTGCAAAAGCAAGGACTGTAAACCCAAGGCCGATGCTTCCAGCGATTATCCTGGTCCGCAAAACACTTTTCTTCTGCTCTATGGTCAAACTCGAGTTACTGGTAACGACGAGGGTCGAGTTGACTGGTGCCATTGACGGAATACTTCTCGTTTTGCAAATCGGCGATTTCAATGATGGAGGAAAAGGATTTCCGGTATAAGTTGTGCAGATCAAGAGCCCCTCTGATGCGCCTGAGTACTCGATTTAGAGCTGCCAGATATTTGACTGAACACGGCGAAGAGTCCCTACACCTGCTCAAGGCGAGATGTCAATAAAGAAGTCAGTGAGGTGAGGTGACGAAAAGCTGTTTGTCAAACAAGCAGGGAGCAGTGGTGTGTAAGTAATAGTATAGGCAAAGCTGGGACGACTTTCAAGAGAAGAGCGGTCTGCAATCGAGAGTGAGGGCCATCTCTCAAGCTGTTGGCATCATGCGGAGTCCCAGGGCCACGCTGGACCTTACCACTGCCTCCTCCAAAAGCGCAGCATGGCGTAGGGCTGAAGCTCCCAGCAACCTATCGGAGCTCGTACAAGATGCAGGCTATTTCGCAGCTGAGAACGTGGAAGGGCCGTGTCATGAGCGCCGAGGCTTTTGTGACACAGGTCGTCCTCCTGCTCGGGACCGTGTAGAGTGAATGAAGTCCGTTCTTTGGTCGATCAAGGCTTCGGGAACGAGACAAGCTGAAAATAATACGAGCTTGGTCGGTCTTGATTTCTTGGCAGCTGCGCGGTCGATACGTCCTCAGGATCCAGTGAAGAAGTGATATAGGTGCCGAAGAGGTGTGCAAAGCCGAGTGCTTGTCTCTGAGATGTCATATCGTACAGGACTTCATTTGGCCTATCGGTCTGCAAATTTTAGTACCGCTGCGTACTGCACCGACCCGGATTGAATGATTATTCAGGTACAATCACGAGGCTGAAAGGCTGCAGACGGATTTCTTGAGGATGTGAACGTGTGGGACGGGCGGCACATTTGCTGGCACGTCTCATTACACGAGCGACACTTTGGCAGGAGGGAACACATACTGAGTAGGGTCAAGGGTTGAAGAGAGCCAACCCATTGAGCGCTGCGTCTTCAGCTATGAGGATGAGGAAGAATCCGGTGGCACCGCAACAGCGGAATTCACACAGCCACAACAATCTTCGTCACGTTCCTGCGTCAAACGGGGCCTCTAACTCGACTGGGCTAGGTGTGGCTGTGCGACAACCTCGGCTGCGTCACGTGCGGTGACGTCGGCATGCCAACACGAGTTTCAGGTGGTTGTCTTCTGCCTGCATGCATGTGAAGAAGCTTTCAGTTCACCACCTCCAGCTCATTCAAGTTCAATAGCGACCCTTCTTCAACTCACATCCTCCGCAAACTCCAAAGTCAAAGGCAATCGAAAGACAATCACGCTCAAGATGTCGGACACCATTCCAGCTCTCCTTATCGTTCTCATCACCATTCTCAGTGAGTGCTGCGCTCTTTGAAACCTTATCGCCTCTGTTCTCCAGCAAGCGTGGCTATTGTCGTGTCGGCCAGCTAACACTCTGCTCTCGAAGTCCCTCCCGTTGGCGTCTTCATGGTCGCAGGCTGCGGCGCCGACTTCTTCATCAACATCTGCTTGACCCTCCTCGGCTATATCCCAGGCCACATCCACGCGTTCTACGTCGAATACGTCTATTTCGACAGGAGGGAGAGAGCAAGGCATGGGCAGTTGACCGGTCACCAAGCACCAGGCGTGTACAGCGACCGAGTCCAGTCAGGTGGCGCACCGGGTTATGGGACGATCTAGGGGATGCGAACCAAAGCCGCGCACGCGCGAGATACTGCTGGAGTACCCCGGCCCAAAACCAGCTCATGGAGTACTCCAGGCGAGCCCGCTGTCCTCGCCGAACCAGCTTGAGAGTAAATGCCAGCATGAAGAAGTTAATTGAGGGCTGTCGACGCAACCAAGGGAGGACTTGATTTAAAACCCATTCATAACCAAGTGGGAGCCACAGCAGGGTATGATGGTCGTGGGGTGTGCGCAATCCACTGGATTGAGTCATATTGGTTTGCTCGTCATCTTGGTTTTGGGGCTAGAATTGTTGTGCTGTACAACCCGCGGCACCGCGTGCAATCGAAGACACGAACTGACCTCTTCTGGCCGATTTCTATGTTCCTCTCCTTCCAAGAACAGTAGAAGAATGAATATAGTTGTACACCAGCGATCCGTGTGTATTGTCATATTCAATGAGTAGCAGAGTCAACGGATCGTCAGTCTGAAGGGTGAGCAATACCTGTAGGATTTCAGTAGATCCTTGGGGCCACAGAAGGGGTGTTTTACGTAGGGCCCAGGGGGTTCTTACTTAAGGCCTAAGCAGCCAGTTGGGGCCCCAGACGGGCATGTTAAAAGCGGCCTCGCTCCATATTCAGTGCCTAACACAGTAGTAGGTAGGCCAGAAGGATTTTCGATGGTGGCTGATTGCTCTAATTTAATTCCAGTCGGCTTCCTTAGACCTATTAATGTCCTCAATGGCGCAGGATCTGGCTCACCGTGTCAGCTATAGATGCATTCCGCGGCAATTCGGCGTGTCACTCGACGATATGCCTATTGCCCACCCTTCTTCTGGCCATTGCTTTCCTGTTGAGCCTGTGGATTGAATCTTGGGCGATCTGCTTCCCTTCAACTACCCAGCACTTGTGTATGGACGTATCCCACTGCCTTGGGTCAACTTTCCGTATCGCCTACCGCATTCGATCAGCTGGCCCTTGGTGCTCTCTTGGCCCTTCTATCGAAGCGCCCCAACTTTAAAGGCAACACGGCGTCGGGCTATTAGTGTACATACTGTGGTACGGCCTGGACAGCCTCGCCAGGCCTTCGATCAAAGTCTATCCACGTTGCACCACCGCGCTGTTTCAGGCTGCCAACACGGCAAGACACAGAAGAGGCCTCCCTATTTGACTCCAGTCTTTCACAGCTCATTCCTTTGCGTCCAGATACCCGGCCGATATTCTCGCAATCTCTTGTTCTTCAAATTTGGCTGCTGGCGACGTTGCAATACGCCATCCTTACCGAGTTCTGGCCGTCGTTGACAGGACGCCAGGATTTGGTCTCCTGTGCTGCCCAATCAGTGGGTAAATGTCCGACTTCATCGAGCTGTCAAGTCCATATGGAGCCGGAAAGAGACCACAGAGGGGGGAATCGATCAAAGCACTCGGCTCACTTCACCGAAAATCTGCTTCTGCACAGTATAACCCTATCTTAGATCCCTCGGAAGAGTACAACAGTGGAGCATTTCAGTCTCAAAATGAGCCACAACTACATTCCCCCACAACGCTCGGCTCGAGGAGACTGGGCAAATTTGGGACGGACTTGCTCATCGAGATATGCCTCTGTACGTTCACTTTAACGGTGGCAGCGCCATTCTTGTGGTTGGCTGTAACCATGGTCAAGTACGACGGTCTCAAGGTCACCCAGTCGGATACGAATTTTATCAAGCAGGCAACGAGCACGGTAGGCGCCAATTTCAGATGCGATGCGTGCTATGCTAACGAAGGCAGGCATCGACCCTCTTCACCATCCTCTTTGCGGCTGTGCTGGGCTCGACACTCAAACGCTTTGCAACATGGCGACTGGAAAACGGCATAAAGCTCGGTCTTCTCGAGCAGATCATGCAGAGTCGCACCTTCTTTACTGCTCTCACCACGCAGTTGTCATTTCGAGCGTTCAATGTCGTGACCTTGGTCTTATTAACAAGCTGGATCTTTTCTCCTCTGGGCTCCCAGGCATCGCTGCGATTGGTGTCGGTGGGCAGAGAGGTCACCACACATTCTGACTTGGTCAGCTATGTCGACACCGTTACCAACCAGCTCTTTTCTTCCGTTTCTGGCGTTGATTCATTGCTGACGGCACTGAAACCGAGTTATGTAAGCTCGGTCCTGGGTCCTACGACAATGAAGAATGGGACGACGGACCTGTTTGGCAACGTTAAGATTCCATGGCTGGTGGAAGGTGCGGAGAACGATGCCGATGGCTGGGTTGCCCTTTCGCAATCGAATCTGACCGAGGGCTCGTTCTCCTCGCTCGTTGGAGTCCCTATTGCTCTGCTGGCCAACCAAAACTCCAGCTTCGTGATAGAGACGACGTACATGAATCTAGACTGCAACAAGCCGAGAAACGAGACGGAGGTCAACATCAACCTCAACTCAACGACGATAGTCAACGGCACCTTCTCTGGACCCAATACCACCGTCGATTCGGCCGACTTTGCTATCTATCCTTCTTGGCAGGTAGCCATGAACCAGTTCGTGTCCGATGACTACTTCTATGGCTATCCTGAGCAGTTGGTCAACGTCTCGGATGCCAGCATTCCGCAAGCCACTTTTCTCTTCCAGACTCGAGGTCCGTGGGTGACTCGGTGCGCCATTAACCAGATCTATGTCGAATCAAATGTGTCTTGTCAATCAGTGACCGATTCACAACTGCCTTTCTGCTCAGTGCAGGCACAACGGAGGTCGCCCAACAAACATGCGCCTTCAACAGTTACAACGCTCAGCTTTCCTTCCACGTTCACCTACCTCACCAAAGAATGGATCCTGGCAACCGATCCGTTGCTAAGCTCCGGCTACTCCTCGCTGAGCGAGTACTACCTCCAGAATACGAGCTCTGCCTTCATTTTGAGTGGTAATGGCCGCAACTACGCCGACTATTCCAATGTAACTGCACAACAGTTCTCTCAGAGGCTCGGCCAATTACTCAATACCTGGGTTTTGGCAAGTCAGACGTGTGCCGACACCATGGAATATCCCCTGAACCATCAAAATACCACAGCGTTCTATACCGACGGATTTGACGTCTATGTCGTATCCTGGAGCTGGGTCGGCGTGTATTGCGCGGCGATAGGGGTCATGGTGCTTGCAGCGTGCTGCACCATCTGGTGCGCCTTTCACACCACGATTCCCGATGTCTTGTCCTACTGCTCTTCGCTCACAAGGGACTCCAAGTTCTTCGAGTTCGCGAAGGGAGGCAGTACGCTGGATGGTGTCTTGCGCGCCAGAATGCTGCAGGATGTGGAGGTGAAGCTAGGCGAAGTGGCTGAGCAGCAAGCAGTCACGAATGACCAATATCGTAGTGGCTTTGTAAATGATGTGAATCCCGGGGCGAACGAGCGCGTTTCGTATCTTGCTATTGCACCAGCGCAGTATGTGCGAAGTCCGAGTCGAGGAGTGCTGTATGCGTGATCCTATGGAGTCGAATATATCGCCGATTTGATTTTCCTGCAAGCTCCAGGGTACTCGAACAGTGACAAGAACGGTCCCGTTACTTGATGTGCAGTATTATACACTGCAGAGTAGGGAGCAGTGCCCACCTCGGGTGGTGCTGTGGTAGGTGAATAAGGCTGCGTCGAAGCCTCGTCGTTGCTTGGCGTGGCGCGTTCGCGTCACCGCGTTTTAACACCTTCGGTCGTTAGTCCAACGCTTCCAGTGAAACGGTGAATGACACTGTTTCGCTCGCAGTCAGGCAGTTGCAGCCCTTGCTTCAATGAGTTGAGTTCCTCTGTACAAGCACTTGCACTCCTATATTATTCTCCCCCATCCTCCAGTTCACTATGGCCGCCAGTGTCGCCCTTGCCCCGCAAGCAGCATCCTCCCTGCCAACTGCTCAATCAACTCCCTCCAAGAAACGCAACCACGAAGGAGAGCTTGTCGACCACGCCTCTTGCGGTTCTACAGCGCAGCTCGACAGTAGTCCTCTCACGCCCTTCCAATCTCCCACCTCTCTACGAGACTCAAGTGACCAGCCTTCTCCATTGACTGAGTTAGGCACCACGCCTACCACTAGCCCAGTCAAAGTGCCAGACATGGCACCTGCACCTGGCAAGAAGCCAAAGCAAAGCTTCACTGAGAAGCAAGCTGAGAAGGCCATTAAACAAGCAGAAAAGGAGGAAAAGGAGAGGTTAAAGGCAGAAGCCAAAGCGAGGAAAGATGAGGAAAAGGCGAAGAAAGACGAAGAGCGAAAACGCAAAGAAGAGGAGAAAGAGGCTTTACGCAAAGTAAAGGAAGAAAAGAAGCGTGAGAAGGATGCTGAGAAACAGGCCAAAGAGGCAGAGAGGCAGAGAAAGGAGGCCGAGTCGCTCAGGAAAGAGAGGGTAGGATATCTCTTCTCTATTCCCCTTCCAATGCTAACAGGTACGCAGGCTCAAATGCGGCTCGGCGCATTCTTTGGTAAACCGACAGCTACCTCCCTTCCAGCAGCGGTTAGTGACTGTGAGGACATTTCTCGAGGCACCACGCCATCCCGAAGAAGCTCGATTGCGTCTATCGATCTGGATCCTCCGCTTGTAGACACGAAGCTGTCGCCCACAAAACACGTCAAGTCCGATGCGCGACCTTTCATCATGCCGTTTTTCATCAAAGAGCACATGCAACTGGCGCCCTTTAATCGATTCCTATCGAAAAGATCATCTCTGCCTGACGAACTTCCACTTCACCAAGATGGCGTCCCGGAGAAGTTGGATGTCCGTTTTCATAAACGTCGGCGGACACGTCAAGTCAGACCCGTCAAGAAGATCCTGAGCGAGATGAATGGATCGGAGAACGCACCTGTTGACCTGAGGAATCCAGCAAGCCCCCTTGGGAACATTCCCTACAAGTATTTGTTTTACCGTGAGGATGTTCGACCTGCCTACCAAGGTACTTATACTCGACCCGTGTCACCACGCACGGCACGAAGACTCGCTCTCAAGCCGTCGTATCGGGGTCTTCCAGACACAAACTACGATTACGATAGCGAAGCCGAGTGGCAGGAACCGGAAGAGGGTGATGAAGAGATCCTGGACGATGATGAAAAGTCCGAGGATGGAGACGGTGACGAGGAAATGGAGGACTTTCTCGACGATGAGGGGGATGTGGCAAAGCGACAGATGGTGGTTGGGAACATGGAACCGAAGTGCAGTGGACTGTGCTGGGAAGACGGAACAGACCACAGAGAGAACGGATTCGACCTGTCGCACTATCGCATCGACGTCCTGCACGACTCGACCAGATTGCCCATCGATCCGTACTCGACGGTGCACTGGTCAGATGCCGGGAAGAAGAGCCCGGTAAAGCGAGAGGAGAAATCACAACAATGTGCTGCGATGCAGCCACCTCGTCTGCCCCTTATGGCTGTTGATCCTAACAGCGGGAACACAGTATCTCTATCGCCATTCCACAACCATGTGTCAAATGCCGGCCAATCGGAGAACAACATTCTCGCTCTCAAAGCGAAGGCAAATGCATCTGGAAAACCGGTCAAGCTGGTACCACCAGAGCTCATGCCGGCGTTCAGAGCAGCGGTAACGGGAAGCACTTTGACGAAAGTGGGATTGCTCGAGGTCCTGAAGACACAATTTCCAAAATGCACCAAAGATGCAATCAAGCATACCGTCGAGGGGATTGCAGAGAGGAGGAGTGCACCGGAAGGGGAGAAGAGGTGGATTCTGCTTGACAACTAAGGCAGAAATCAGACATTCGCAACGGGTGTTCTGAGCCGTTGACGAACGAACTAAGCGAAACCGTGGTGTTCATACAGCTGTATTGATATTGGCACGCCCACCAACCTGATGCGGAAGCGTCCTCTGGTACCTACCGATTCCTTCACCTTCGTGGTTCTGCCTCGGACGGCGGTTAAGCAGATATCAAGCCGGTTACAAGAAGATATAGTTGTACCATAGTAGGCATGAGTAAATTACACAACTTGTCCTACTCTGCTGCGATGTGGTGCACGAAGCGAGCATTAATTTGCGCCACCATCACGGCCCCTTCTCCTCTCACAGCCTGGCTGCGATAGGCACCTGGCGTATGGTGTGTTTGGGGAGCACATTGCAAGGTCGTTGTCCTGGTCGGTCCCACTTCGATAGGTTGGATACAGTCAGGTACAGGAGGCGATCGACTGATCGCTCGGAAGAAACTACCGCTTGCCTCCAGTGCATCACAACTTGCTCTGAGATTGACGTCTGCCACATAATCAGCTCAAAGCCCAGTCCACGATTGTGCAATCTCTTTCGCCCCTATAACAGTGTTCAGATCAACCTGAGAGCTGCTATAGAGACGCCGCCATGGCTTTTCCCGATTCCGCTGCTTCGAAAAGAGGACTGCTCGTAGTCATTGAAGGCCTTGATCGCTCAGGGAAATCGAGTCAGTGCCAACGGCTTTTCGACTTCTTTCGACTGCAAGGGCAGCGGGTTCGCTATGCCAAATTTCCAGGTTCGTTCGCTGGCGCGCCGGTGAGCCACAATTGGTAACGTTCACAGATCGGACGACGCCGACAGGACAGATGATCAATAGCTATTTGACTGGCCAAGCTCAACAAGACGACCACTCGATACATCTGCTCTTCAGCGCCAACAGATGGGAGGCTATCAATTCCATCAGATCAGACCTGCTCAGTGGGATGAACGTCATAGTCGACCGGTACTCTTTCTCTGGAGCTGTCTATTCAGCCGCAAAAGACAACCCGGATCTTCCGCTCCGTTGGGCTTGGAATCCGGAGATCGGACTCCTCAAGCCTGATCTACTCTTTTTCCTCGACATCTCGTCTGCAGATGCAGCCAAACGCGGCGGCTATGGAGCTGAGCGGTACGAGATGGAGGAAATGCAGACCCGTGTGCGAATTCTATTCAAGGACCTGTTTGCTAGACTGGACATCACGGTCTATCAAGTCGATGCGGGGAGAACAATCGACCAGGTTGCTGTTGATATCCAAGCAGTTGTTCAAACGGCGATGCAGAATTCTCAGGTGGCTACTAGCGACCTTGAGAAGCTGGGACCTTTGCTTGACAACGTGTCTTTATGAGTGAATGGAAAAGGATCGAAGAGCCACTCTGGGATCAGCTGGTTTTTCATCTCTCTTCTTCGCTATCTTCTATGACCATCTCTAGCAATGGTTTTGAGCGCTCTCCAGCGGCAGCAATAGATCTTGGCTTGTGTCCAGCTTCGCGATCCGAAGGACCACTAACGAACGAATCTGCCGATGCAACGGATAATCCATCGTCTTCATCAGAACCCAGTTGCAATCCCTCATCAACCACACGTTCCGCGGTAAGTGTTTCTTCCTCTCTTGGCGAATCGCTGGCTTCACTACATGTCTCCATGATCTCCGCTGCAACTGCTGCTGTGGACTTCTTCCCCTTCCTGCCCAAGAGTTTCTTGACCTCTTTCACTCCTCTGTTTCTTAACGTGACCTGTTGCATTAACTCCACCCAAGCGGTTTCCTTTGTGCACGAAGGGCAGACTGCTATATCTGGGACGATGGATGAGGCTGACTGATTTCTGTGCAGTGACGCATCGGCCAGGCAAGTCACATGAGAAATGCTCTGGCAATGTTCCATGTGGCAGATAACAAAAAGGCTCCTGTGGAGGTCGATGCTTGCGGCGCACAAGGAGCACTTCTGATTGTCGCCGTCGTCGAGTAGAAATTGGCTCTTCTCGAAAACACCTCTCAGTCGGGCATATGTCGGATCGACGCCCTCGGGGCCACCCCTTCCGATGAGCTCTGCCTTCCTCTTCCTTCTCTGGCTCGCCTGGGGCTGAGCAGAAGAAAACTCGTCTTCTTCCTGCTCCCCGGGCTGTGCTGGATCCCAGATGACCTTTATACCAGGCCGAATATGCCTGTCTACACGGGCGCACCAGGTCGTCCAGCACCGGTACATATCCTCGCTGAAGAAGCGCACCTCAAGTGGCCATTTGGAAAAATAGGGCACCCGCAGCAACAGATGGAGATTGGACAACCTGTCGATCAACGAATTCCTTGGTCTACCCGGTCTGTGGGTTATTTTGCCGGATTTTGAAGCCTTGGTGCGCGTCGTCGCAAACGAAATGCGTTGCTCGGCAGAAATATGCCGGGTCAAGTGAGCATTAGTCCAGGCCCATTCGAATTGCAAGGCGGCAATGTTCGACGGGAAACCAGCAACGATGCAACCCATCTCCCAGGGCCGCAAACTTGACCGGGATGTGCGAACAGCGCCGCCCTTGACTTTGCCATTATGCTGGCCCAGGCGACGCGCAGGATCCGGTGTCGAGCCAATATAGGTGCTCGCGTGGCGAACTGTGGAGCGGAGGAGGTAGCAGCAATAGAAAGCAGGGATGGGTTTGAGTTCCATCTGATGTTGTGAAAGAGACTCAGCTGATGTATCGTTACGATGATGTGCTTCGGTTGTATGGTGCTGTGTTTGTTGCTGCCGTGTTGACACTGAGGCGCGTGCGACGGCGAGGGTAACCTGGCGATTTGTGATTGGCTAGACGGTGAGAGTTAGGCGCGACATCGTTTACAGCGTGTTAGGCCTGTCAAAGGCTTGAGGGAGCCTCATGTTGGGCTCGTGTTTGCTGAAATGCTGTTGGTTTGTGTTCGAGTAGCGATCTGCTGTACGTGGCCGTACACGGTACGAGGATATCACCATTGACGAGAGGTTGTCGACAGGTTCTGATGCACCTTCACGTGACTTCCGGCTGTACCACCCACGGAGCAGCATTTGGCTGTGAAACGCAGCGGGGATTTTGTGTGCACCACTTGATAGTTTTGCTCCGCCGGAACGTGAGCACACGCCACTGCCTGCAGGAACAGCCAATCGTGTCCCGTCTGGGACCTGCGCTGCTCTGTGCTTCTGGTAGGAGCCTCTCGCCTCTATTCCCTCGTCTCTCGTCTCTCGTTCTTGTCCGCCGTATCCTTCTGCTTTTCTGACTATGCTTTGCTCCTCCACACGATCGTGCCCAGGACTCTCTGTTCAGTGCCGCATGTGAGCCGCCGCGCTCAGAAGTGCCCTGCAAGCACTTCTCATACCACTTTTAAGCGAGTCTTGCCTTCAAACCGAACCAAGCCTGCGCTCTGTACGAGGCTACCCGCTCCCGACTCACTGGCACCCGCCTGCCACTCGTTCTTTCGCTCACTGTATCTGTACCAACATCGGACCCTTTCTCCTTAGTATCCATCCTCCATCGAGCGACTTCGAGCGTCCTACGAATTGTCACCGTTAGACTCTGGCAATATCAAAACAAGCATCTCCCACGGTTTATCGGATCTCCCGACTGCCGCAGTCATGGTCGCTCCACCTTCGACGGGTGGTGTCGCACCACAGGCTGCGAGCGCAAAGCAGTCATCATCAGCGACGCCGGGGCCAGCATCGAGGATGGCAGGCGCCGGGCCCGCCAGCATCGCTACTCCTCTTTTTCCCTACAGTGCTCGGCGAGCACAACCACTTGACATGCGCACCGTCGAGCGCAAAGGCCACCCTTCAAGTCGCGATCCGCCAACGAGAAGAAGACCTCATGACCTACTTGAGGCGCCCACCTTCAGACCGACCGAGGCCGAATTTCGAGACCCGATGGAATACATTCGCAGTATTTCGGACAAGGCCAGCAAGTTTGGTATCTGCAAGATTATCCCGCCAGAGGGTTGGAATCCAGACTTTGCTATTGATACCGAGGTAGGAGTGACGGCTAAATTGTATCCGAACAAGGCTGATGTGTCTACAGCGCTTCCATTTTCGGACTCGACGGCAGGAGATCAATCTGGTCGAAGGCGGTGAGAATGTTCACGGTATCAGACGAGCGTGACCTGACCATGTTTGCAGGCAACCGAACCAACCTCAACTATCTCGACCAACTAGCAAAGTTTCACAAACAATATGGCGCTCATCTGAACCGCTTCCCGTCCGTTGACAAGCGTCCGCTCGATCTGTACAAACTTAAGAAGGCCGTCGAAGTCCGCGGCGGTTTTGAGCGGGTATGCAAGGACAAGAAGTGGGCTGAAATTGGTCGAGACTTAGGATACAGCGGCAAGATCATGTCGTCGCTCTCGACCTCCCTCAAAAACTCCTACCAACGATGGCTGCATCCCTACGAGGAGTGGCTGAAATATGCCAAACCCGGCGTCCAGGAACAACTCCAGAGCGAGCAAGGGGGGGCTTACTCGCCCTCCGTCATGCCTCCTCACCCCATGCTCAACCACATGCCCCCATCACAATCTGCTCCACCGGCCATGGGAATGAACTCACCGAATCCTCAACCGGCCATGACCCTTCCCCCACAGATGCAACAAAACCCAGGCCCGCCACAACAGCCGCCGTCCATGCCTTCGATACCGGTCACAGCTCCCCAGCCGCGACCTGTGTCGTCTTCTGGCTTCACTGCTGTCAATAGTGGTTTCACCGCGGTGAATGGTCCCTCAGGGTTCACTGCTGTCAACACCCTTCCGCCGCCCGTCATCAAGAAGGAAGTTAACGGTGTACCACCACCAAACCAAAGTCCGGCGCCCTCTCTTCCACCTATCAATGGACCAACAATCACAACAATACGTAACACAGCAAGTCCAATGCCGAATGGGACTTCTAACCCACTGAAACGGACGCTGAGCCATGATAGTCTGAATGGCGAGTCCGGCTCGGAGGGCGTGGATGGCGACGCCGATGGGCCTGACGGCAGGAGAAGCAAGAGACCGAAAAAAGATGTGATGCCAACCATTCCGGGTAACCATGTTCCTGCAATGCGTCCAACCACGCCTCAAGTTCGTGCGAAGCCTGTACAGCGGAGGCATGGGGAAAAGTGCGAGAAGTGCGGCAAATCAGACAACAAAGAGAACATCCTGGTGTGCGATAGCTGCGAGCTGGGCTACCATAGAACTTGTGTCGACCCGCCCGTGAGTTCACTCCCAGAGTACGACTGGCATTGCCCCAAGTGTCTGGTCGGCACCAACGACTACGGATTTGAGGAAGGTAGTATCTACTCTCTGAAGCAGTTCCAAGAGAAGGCCAACAACTTCAAGGAGCATTACTTTTCCGCCCGGATGCAGTTCGACCCTGTCACCAACACCCAACGTAAGCCCACCGAGGACGACATCGAACGTGAATTCTGGAGGCTGGTCGAGGACATCACAGAATCGGTCGAAGTCGAGTACGGTGCAGATATTCACTCGACCACGCACGGTAGTGGCTTCCCGACAGTCGAGAAGAACCCGCTCAACCCTTACTCGAAGGACCTCTGGAATCTGAATGTCATGCCATTCCTGGAAGAGTCGCTGTTCAGACACATTAAAGGTGATATCTCGGGCATGACGGTTCCTTGGCTGTATGTTGGCATGTGCTTTTCAACCTTTTGTTGGCACAATGAGGACCATTATGCCTACTCGGCCAACTATCAGCATTTCGGCGCTACCAAGACCTGGTATGGCATTCCTGGCAAGGATGCTTATCGCTTTGAGGACGCCATGCGGAAAGCGGTCCCAGAGTTGTTTGAGACGCAGCCTGACTTGCTGTTTCAGCTGGTTACAATTCTGCCGCCCAACCAGCTGAGGAAGGCTGGAGTTGAGGTTTACGCGCTTGATCAGCGCGCGGGTCAATTCGTTATCACCTTCCCTCAAGCATACCATGCCGGCTTCAATCATGGCTTCAACTTCAATGAAGCCGTCAACTTTGCCCCGGCGGACTGGGAGCCGTTTGGCGAGGCAGGGGTGCAGCGACTACAAGAGTTCCGTCGTCAACCATGCTTCTCGCACGACGAGTTGCTCTTCACGGCTGCAGGGTCAGATACCACAATCAAGACCGCCAAGTGGTTAGGTCCAGCTCTGGAACGAACCCGCAATCGCGAGTTGGCCGAACGTGAGAACTTCGTGGCGATGCACAAGCGGCACTTCCCACATGATGACTGCACGTTTGACACGCTGGCCGAACAACCTTCTGAGGCTTGCGGCTTGATCATCAAGATCGAGAATAGCGAGCTGGAGGAGGAGGAGTACCAGTGCTGTTACTGCAAAGCATTCTCATACCTCTCGCAGTTCCGGTGTCACCGCAGTGGCAAAGTAACGTGCTTGCTCCATCCCGAAATCGCCGATTGCTGCGCAGACGCCCCAGAGGAGCGTTTCAGAGGGTCAAATCACAGTCTACTGTTGCGGTTCACCAATCACGAGCTGAGCAGCATTGTGCAGAAAGTGGTGGATAAAGCCAATGTGCCCCAAGCGTGGGAAACCAAGTTTGATGCACTCTTAGCCGACGATGCCCGTCCTGCGCTCAAGGTAATGCACACCCTTCTAAGTGAAGGCGAGAAAATACCCTATCCTCTGAAGGGCCTGGATGACCTGGCCGACTTCGTCAAGAAGTGCGATCAGTGGGTTGATGAAGCGAACCTGTACCTCACGCGAAAGCAGCAGAACCGGCGCAAGAATGAGAAGGCCTGGCGCCGTTCTTCGCTCCGAACCGGCAAAGCAGATGAGAAAGAGACCGAGCCACAACTGACTTTGGAACGTATGAAGGAGCTGATCGAGGATGGAGACCAACTCGGCTTTAGTGCGCCGCAGCTTGACAATCTGAAAGAGAAAGTGACCATGATCGACGACTGGCGAGCCAACGTAAAGCGCATTCTGAGCGGCTTGAATAACCCCACGGCTGAGGAGTTGGAGACCATACTCGACGAAGGTCGCGGCTTTATGGCGGCCATGCCTGAGCTGACCAGCCTGGAACAAGTCCACGCACGAACGCACTGGCTCGAAGAGGTCCGTCAACTCCAGAAGGAGGTGCAGTCCAAGACTCTCGACGAATGCAAAGAACTTCTGAAGCGTGCCGGTGAGCTCGAAACGGCGCCACAGATGCCTGAAGTCCTCTTCCTCACTGAAGTGGTTAGGCAAGGCGAATTCTGGGAGATCAAGGCCAGGGAAGTTATGGGCGCCGAGGACGTTCACTACCCTCAGCTGGAATCGCTGCATGCCCAAACGCAGAACCAAGCCTTTCCTGTCAACAAGGATACACTGGAGCAGATGGATGCTATTCTTGCCAAGAACCGTGAAGCCAAGCGCCAGATCATCACCTTGGTTGAACGAAGTCACGATCCAGATTTCCGCAAGCGTCCCATGTACGCTCATGTTCGAGACGTGGTCAAGAGCTTGGAGGATCTCAACGGTAAACCTCATGGTGCGGCCGACCTAGAGAAGGAACTAAGACGCCACGAAGACTGGATGAGGAAGGGCAAGAAGCTGTTTGGCAAGGCTAACGCACCACTTCACATTCTCGAACAGCACATGAAGTTCGTGGAGGAGAAGAACGGCTTCTGCTTCGATCTCAACGACACGTTCCGGCCCCCGGTCGAGCCTGCATCGCGAGAGGCTACACCGACTGACGGACAGGAGAAGGGCACTCTGGGGGACGAGGAAAAACCTGTCTTCTGCATTTGTCGACAGCCAGAGGCCGGACTCATGATTGAATGCGAGATTTGCCACGACTGGTGAGTGTAGTTATTGACACGGCTGGCTCTTTGCTAATTTATTACAGGTACCATGCGAAATGCTTGAAGCTCGCCCGAGGCAAAGTGAAGGAGTGCGAGATGTTCACCTGCCCCATTTGTGACTGGCGGGTCAAGATACCCCGTGATGCGGCCCGGCCGAAGCTGGAAGACCTCCAATCCTGGCAAGATGAAATCCAAGATCTGCCATTCCAACCCGAGGAAGAAGAGCTGTTGAAACGAATTATTGACAAAGCGCAGGCCTTCCGTGAGTTCCTGATGCAGTACACGAGCGGCAACCAACTGTGCAGGACCATTGAGGAGATGCCGGAAATGCTCTTCTACCTGCGAAAGATCGAGGGAGCTGAAGTCCTGCTCGCCTATGAGACCAACGTTTTCCGGCAGGAGCTGCACAAGTGGCAACCCATCGCTCCCGATCCACCACCAATTCTGGATCAGAGCTTGTCGACAAGAAAGCCGCGCCCCACAAAGCAGCAAAAACTGATGAAGGAGCTGGGCGTGGAAAAGCCTGAAGACCTGCCTCCTCACCTACGGACCAAAACGTATGTGCGCAGGAAAACACAAGAATCGTTTGTCACCGGACCTCTCCTGCCGAAGCCATCGACACAGTCACCATCGGCGCCTGGCTCCGCTGCCAGTCCCGTGCAGAATGGCAACACAGAAGGTCCGTCTGCAATGCAGAGACAAGAATCAAACGACAATGCAGGACCCAGTCGGGCCTATGAGGCTGGCTTTATGTCTGAGACACCCTACGCCGACCACCGACCATCTCCATTCTCACCCAACTCGCCCTCGTTGTTCAGTCCAACCAGAGACCAACCGCAAGACGGGCTGAGGGATCCGATGATGCCAAGTTTTGGTGGAGAGAGTGCGGGAGGACGAAACCATGACCCGTCATTCCCTCAATTCCGCCCGAATGCTGGACTAGGTCTTGACGCCGAGGACGATCTCCGAAACGGACTCGCTAACGCATCCGAAAGTGGACCTGCCTCTACCAGGGATGCGTCTCCGCCGGTTTTCGAGTCCGACAACATGTTCCTCGACATGACCAATCCGGACGGGGACACGACCAACGATGCTGTACCCAGTCTCGAACAGGAAGCCAGTCACGCAAGTGAGGCGTTGGACATGATTCGAAGTGCGAGCCATGATTCGGCCAACGACAATGCGGAGCTGGAGGATGGAGATAACGTGTCCAAACACTTTGACGACTTTATCAACGGGGACGAGCAGACTTAGTGGGGGCTCGGAACTGGCCTGGCGTTTTGTTGAAATATCGATACCCTTATGCTGGAATTCTCCTTTGGCCGTCATAGAAAGGAGTTGGCGGCATTGCCATGTCACAGCACGAAGCGATGATGCTCAAGGGGAAGCTTTTCTTTGGGATGGCTTATGTATGGGTTTAACTCTCCACGGCGGCACAAAAACAGACATTTGTATGTGGATGGAGGCTTACTCTTCGGATCACAACGCATGGTAGCAAGGTTATTGCAGAGGCTGCACTGGCAGGCTTGTGGATGATCTGGGACAAGCAGTGGAATGGCTACAAACTATCTTTCTCTACTCGTCGAACTTGACCTTCAGTAATTTACGGATGTTGTAGTCATGTATGGTAATCTGGACGATGGTAGCGGTCATGCATGGTAGTTGTGGTTCTTACAGAGTGCGAGTGTCATAAGAGGTACGAGAGGCGGTCTCTGCGATCACGTGATCGCTTTCAAGCCCGGGCTCAGTTTCGTGGGGCTGCTGCTCAGTCACGTGGTATCTGAGCTTCCGTGGGGTATTCAGTAGCTCGGCAGTTGATTAGCGTCGTCGCCGTCTTACCAGATTTGGTTAGTGTGTTGAAGCCGGCGACTGGCGTCATCAAGCATTTGGAGGCTGCTAAAAAGTTCTCGCGGGGTAATTTTGACTGTTCTGGGTGTGGAAATGCGACAACTTTGGTCTCTCGTGGTCCTCCAGCATTGGAGACGACAACCTGTTCCTCGTCGTTGTTGACAACAACTTGCTGACGCCTCGGCAATGAAGTGTTTTTCACCTTGTTTCTTGCACTTCATCTCACACCAACCGCAGTGAAGTGGCACACGACAGCAAACTTGAGTTCCCCCGGTCGGAAACATCCCATAGCGTGGGCTTAGGGGTGGCTTTTCAGTCTACAACCACACCATGGCATTTGGGCACGATGACCGGCTTCCCACCCTTTTCTCCTCCCTCGACCCGTCGTCACACTACTTCTCCCTCGAGTTCTTCCCGCCCAAGACGTCCTCGGGCTTCTCCAACCTCCAATCTCGCTTGGCCCGGATGGCCACTGCCCTACATCCACTATTCGTCACGGTAACTTGGGGTGCTGGCGGATCGACAGCCACCAAGTCGCTGGAGCTGGCAGAGTTGTGTCAGCGACAGCTGGGGTTGACCACTGTCCTACATTTGACATGTACCAACATGAAGAAAGACATGGTGGATGAGGCGCTGGAAGCCGCAAAGGAGATCGGCATCCGGAACATCCTGGCTCTGAGAGGCGATCCACCCAGAGAAGAGTACAAAGACGCTACATCCTTGGGAGAAACTGAAGGTGGAAGCGGTGGTGCAGGCACGGGAAGCAATGAAGAATTCACGTGGGCGATTGACTTGGTCCGGTACATTCGGAGGAAGCACGGCAATTACTTTGCCGTCGGTGTCGCTGGATATCCCGAGGGCCACGCTGACGAGAGCCACCCGGAACAAGGAAAACAGAGCGTTGAGCATGATCTGCCCTATCTGGTGGGCAAGGTCTCTGCGGGCGCGGACTTCATCATGACGCAGTTAACGTACGACATTGATGCGTATCGAAGATATGAGGATCGTCTGAGAAATTATGCAGACCCGGAAGGCAGGAGGGTGTTTGCTAAGATCCCAATCATTCCAGGCCTCATGCCGATCCAGTCCTACCAGATCATCAAGCGAATCACGAAGCTCAGTCATGCGAGACTGCCGGAGGATATCTCGAAGCGAATCGAGGCCGTGAAGTCAGACGATGAGGCTGTCAAGAAGGTTGGTGTGGATGTGCTCAGCGAGCTCGTGGAGCAGATGAAGACCCTGCCTCAGCCGGATGGCGTGCCTAGGGGCTTCCATTTCTATACCTTGAACCTGGAAAAGAGTGTGGCGTTTATTCTTGAGAGGACAGGCTTGATCCCACCGGTGAGTTCGGAGGGAAGCACGGGAGATAGAGATGGAGATTCATCTTCAGATCCGGACGCCGTTGTCGATGATGACAAGCGAGACGGTACCGCCACTATCACGAAGGAGCAAGCAGATCAAGATGCACATCAGGCACGAGATTCTGCTTTCTCCAGGCGGCGGAGGAGTTCGATCAACGCCCAACCTCACAATCGTGTAATCATGGATCGGCCGTCCCGTTCACCCGCACAAGCTCGGCCAGATGGGGACACTGACCCGCCTAACGGTCGGAGCTCGAGTCTCACGGCGCAACACTCCGCGAGAGATCGAGGGACCGGCATTCCTGCATCATCACCTACAAGACGGCATAATCTCCTCATATCTGAAGGTCAGGGCTCCTTGGGAAGGGAAGCCACATGGGACGACTACCCGAACGGTCGATTTGGCCCCAGCCATTCGCCTGCTTTTGGCGAGATTGACGGATACGGACCAAGTCTGAAAGTCAGCCCTCTGATGGCAAGGAAACTATGGGACCATCCGAAGTCGGCCAAGGACGTGACGGAGATATTCAGACGGCACGTGTCCGGTGAACTGGCGGGTGTACCATGGAGCGACGACATTGATCCCAGCGGCGGTAACGGCACAACGTTGAGCAAGGACACGGCAGGCGCCTTGAGAGCAGAAACCGACGTCATCAGGTCGGAATTGCTCTCTCTGATCTCAAAGCAAAACTACTGGACGCTGGCGTCTCAACCGGCCGTTGATGGCGCTCCTTCATCTCATCCGATATTTGGCTGGGGACCACCAGGTGAAGGATTCGTGTTCCAGAAGACCTTTGTAGAGTTTTTCTGCAGTCGAGACGAATGGGAAACACGGCTGAAGGACCGGCTCCAGAAGTACGGCAGCGAGGTCCTCAGCTGGATGAAGACGGACGTACACGGTGCGTTTGAGAGCGCGCAGCACGCGCCGCGGCCAGCAAACGGCGTCAAAAGGGCCGCGACTGATGAAACCACGAATCCCATCTCCACCATGAACATCAATGCCAGCGCCGGCGTGTCGGACGTGGACACCGTGAATGCCGTGACGTGGGGCGTGTTTCCCAGCCGCGAGATCCTCACCCCAACCATCATCGAGGCCGAGTCGTTCCGTGCGTGGGCCCAAGAGGCCTTCGCCATCTGGAGTGAATGGAAGCGCTGTTTCCCTCGGGGTTCCGAAGAGGCGGCCTTTCTCGACCGAGCTAGAGGCGATGTCGTGCTGGTGAATATCGTGGGGCAAGAGTTCCGAGGCGGCCACGACGGGCAGGGAGGCCGGTTGTGGAAGATCCTGCTTGGTGAAGATCAGAAGATGGGCGAGAGATCGGGATTAGATGACACATGATAGAGATTAAGAAGAATTATTTGCTAGAAGTACAGAGTACGGTACTTGCTGTAGCTACCCTACTTAGTCTGGAGTGGAGTGGAGTGTGACCTTCTGCCATCATCCGTGCACAGTCGAGCCCGAGCGGCGAGAATGGATAGACCACCGTGTATGTGCAAATGAAACAGACGCATGGTCTCGTCAATACCATCCAGCTGAAGTTCCGCTGGTTGATTATTGCGGTGGATTGCAGGATCGAGAGGGGGTCACTCTGTCGTCACGGCCCCTGAGTCCTGCTACATACAGTATGATAGTTTTCTACGCGGTGAAATGAGATGAAAACGTTACGCAGTGTACCTCCCTAGCCATTCAAGAGGGCAAGTATCAAGTGCTTGGTAAGTGAGACGCCGTTGAGGAGTAGGTAGGTAGTACAGTATCGAGGACTCGAGGACTCGAGGACTTGAGAGCTCGGCCAGCTCGAACCACGAAATTCGATTCTCGTCATAGGTACTGAATGGCAAGTGCTTCAGATGCCACGGCAAGATACGGTAGATGGACTTCGCATCCATTTCACTATAGTTACCGAAGTCATGGTTCATGAAAATATGCTACATGTATGACCCCTCGCATTTACTGCACGAGGTTTCAAGTCTGTCAAAGGTGAAGGTCGTAAATCGCATCTTTCATCATGACTCATGAGACCTGCTCAGGGCAGGGCAGACTCGCAACGCTGCCATCAGGTTTAGTAGCCGGTCGATGCCATCTCTGTCTTCTGTCTTTGACGCCCCTCCTGCTCAGCGCAATGCGGATTCGGAAACGCCGCTATCAGGTGTAGTGGCCGGTCAATGCCATCCCTCTCTTCTGTCTCCTGACGCAGGCAAGGAGCGTCGACTTGATCATTTTCATTCCGACACTCTCAGCACCTTCGGTATTGTCTCGGCACTACATCGCGCAAAGGCATCCACCATGCCCTCCATTCCGGGCCATTGCTCTTTACACCAGGCGAGTAATACGAGGCAATCGTTCGATAGGGTCAGCAGGTCCGAGAAGTCAAGCTTCTGTTCTCCGTATCTTTCCCTCTCTGAATCTCGGTGGCCTCCGGCAGTGAGCGGGGAGGGACTTTGGATTACAACACCGGACTCAAGGGAGAGGAGGGCGAAGGAGATAAGCGTCATGCCCGCTTGAAAGATCGAGTATGCGGCGAGGAACGTCACGGGAAAGATGAACAGAGGTGAATTGGACGTCGTGGAGCGGATAATGAGGCTGTACAAATTCAGAAGAATCTTCGAGGAGTGGTAGGGTTCCGAGGCAATGGTGAGCGAATCTCGCTGTGGTAGACGATTGTGCCGTATGGTGGCCAGGGCTTCAAGAAGATGGCGTTGGAAGAGGAAAAGAACTGAGGAGTGGTACATGATATCGCGTGTGATCTCGCCAACTCCTGCGAGATTCTTGCTGTCGTTGATGAGGTGGCTTTGGCTGGGATCTTGATACCATTGTCGCAGTGTGGCGTGTTGCTCGAGAAACCATTCCAACCTCGGATGCGGGCTGGCAGCGGAAAGGTAAATGTCGGTGTAGATTTCCGAGCGGAGGAACATCAAATGGAATCCTTGGGCTGCTGCTACCTTCTGTCTCGAACCGTTGTCCAAGAGTGCCGGGTCTGCGAGGACAGTTGGATATTCTGTGGTAACGATCGAGCTGGGGAGGTCTGAAGGTCGCCCGAAACATTGCCCTACCAGTCGCTCTATGGAGTAGAGACTCCAGAAGGCTGTTCTCCTCCAGGTCTTGTCGGCTTCACTCTCCGATGTCGAGTGCCCTTGCTCAGTGTGATAGCCGAGTTGAACACTTAGGCGACAGGCGAAGTCGAGGATTTTCCATATATTGCCTTTGCGGGGATTGAAGAGACAATAAATCACGAGAAGGAGGAGGGCTTCGAGAGACTGTGGAGAGACCTCTGCCGTTACTTCTTCCACGTACCTCACAGCTTGCGCGTAGAATTGATTGCCGTACGCCATGAGGCTTGGGCTGTGCCGTGCCTTAGCGACGCAGGATATAGAACACATCATGGCGATGCGGAAGCATTGATACTTTTCGATCCGTTGTAGATTGTCCGCGTCGAGTTGTAGAGTTCCACTCGTTGCCAGAAACCTATCTAGGTCCCTTTTCAGGTGAGTTTCGTCCACACATGGATGTATGACATTGATGGATGCCATGTAATCCGCGATAAGTGACTGCACGAAATCTCTTCCGGTATCAAAGACTGCTGTGGGGGCCACGGAATCCAGATCTCGGTCATGACCGTCCTTGGCTGAAAGGAGAGGCTCTAGTGGACTCGAAGGACTGAAGAGATTCTTATCGGAGGCCAACGCCAGCGTCTCGACCGCAAGCGCAAACACGGAACTCGAACCATAGAACCGAGAAGTCGAACCCTTGACGCTGGGAACAGGGAAATGGTTGTTAAAGTCTCCTCCATGGTCACTATCGGGTGCTGATTCTTGGACGGATGGGGAGTTTCCTTGCGCTTGATGCGATCTCAATCGATCTGGAATATCCTCTGGCAGAGCTTGTCTGCCCGCAACAGCCTCTAGTGTGACAGCGGCGTATTTGGCCTTGAGGTTGTCCAGGCGCGAGGTGAGAGACTGGATATACCTGACTCGAGTCAGAGATGGGGCCTTTATTCAGACAGTTAGACCACATACTTTCGGGACAGCGTCTGCTGTAGTGCGTGGTCAAAGATGGTGCAGTCGACTTTGGCCCTTTGGCACAGTCGACAGGCCGGCATCTGAGGATCGCATCTCTTTCTCAGCCGCTGACACCGTTGGCAGGATGGCAGCGACTGCAGCGCATAACGTAGCTCTTCCATAACCTGTCACGGCGCTGGGCCAACAGCGTCAAAGCAGAAAGTGCCACTGACTTTCGACGAGATGCGAGTGTCTGGTTATCGGACTATTTGAGACTAGCTCCTTCCCAAGAGGGTAAGTAGGCTTTCAATCACGTGGGTACTTTGCCCCGCTACCACAGCCACTCATCTTCAGCCTCAAGGAAAGTGACCGATCACGTGCTTCTTGGCACTTTTCGCTGCTTTGCACCCTCGCCTTTCCCGCACATTCACTGCCTTCGCAGCATTGTTTGCGTAACGGCAACGTGAATTGTTCTCAGTCACCGTGTCTTATCAGTGCACCGTGTCAGCTCTATCCTCAACTCCCACGGCAGGGGGGATCGCGTGTGGGTCATTGTACAGGCTCCCACTCCTTGTTCCAAGCTTTCGGGAAAGTCCTAGGCATGTGCTTATCGCCTTATCCCGCCATTTTCCTCCTTTATCTGCCGCATTCCGGCCATCGGCCAAGCTAAACGATAAGTCCAGCTGCTCGGTTCTGGACTGGATCGGTGCGAGCTATGGGCAGGGCTCGGGCACCGCGTCTGTGGGAAGTTGACGTGGTATAGCACAGCACTTGAACTACACCATGACCATAACGCTCTTTCAGGCCGCTTCTCTCGCTACCGGTGCTAAACGGCTTCTAGTCCCAGCCAGGGCTGTCTCGGCTATCGGTCAGATACTAGAAAGGGCAAAAGAAGCCTGGAACAATACTGCATCCAGTCGCTACGCCGCTATTGCTTCGGAGATTCACGATCTATTCCCAGATAAGCCACAAAGACACTGTCACGCATGTCCTTAGCCCAGATACAAGTTCTATATTACAATACCAGGAACATGGCCCTTTACAAGCCTGCTCCTCGAACGAGCCCTTAATCACTTACTATTTCTTCTCGAATCTCTGCTCGTGATAGCTTGGTAACTGCCATGTCCGTGGCGAAGATGGACGCCACGGGGGCCTCGACACCCGTCATGGACGAAGAGAAATTGTCGATGCAGGCGGATCAGCGCCCTGTTGAGCCCTCCTTTGCAGAGCTGGGGACCACAGAAGCCCTTGGAAATAGTGGCCCGAAAACGTCGTGGCAGAAGTTCGCGGACTGGATGGAGACTCGTGCCAGCGTGGAAGCCCGCGGTATCGAACGCGTGCCGGAGTCGAGTCGCCAAAGCAAGGTTTCGATGAAGCATTTCTTCCAAATTGGCATCGTCTGGTTCTCGGCGAACTGCACTGCCAACAACATGACCGTCGGAGTGCTCGGTCCAATCGAGTTCGACCTCGGCATGAAGGACGCCATGCTGTAAGTTTTTGGCGCGTTGGGAAGCCATTGAAGTGCGCGCTGAACAGGAGACCAGTATCTGCACATTCGGAAACATATTCGGCGCCATGTGCACGGCATACATTGGTACATTCGGGCCCATGTCTGGTAATAGGACTCTGGTATGAGTTTCCCGGCTTCGATCTCCTCAGTGAGGCTCGATCTTACTTCGAACGGTGGAACTGATCTGTGGGCCAGGTAAACGCACGCTACACGATGGGATGGTATCCATCTCGACTTGCCGCTCTCTTCAACGTCGTCGTGCAAATCGGGTGGGGTCTGGTTGATTGTCTAGTCGCTGGCTTGATCCTATCCGCTGTCAATGGTGGAGGCATGACCGTCATTGTCGGAGTCATCGTTGCAGCATTGGGAACCTGGCTCATCATCACGTTCGGCATCAAGTGGTTCCATATCTATGAGAGGTTCGTTGAGAGCACTGTCGAAAGAGCCCGGATGTCAATGCTGACAAAAGAACCCTCCCAGATATGCCTGGCTTCCCCAAGTCTGCGTCCTATTCATCATGGTAGGCACAGCCGGCCCGCTCTTCGATACCAGCTCGGCCAGCTCAGGCGAGGGCTCCGTCCTTGCTGGCCACCGGTTGACTTACTTCTTCCTCAGCGCCTCCGGCGCCCTGGGCTGGTCCGCCTGTGCGTGCGACTTCTTCGTCTACTTCCCTCCAAAGACCTCACGCTGGCAAATTTTTCTGTGGACCACCGTCGGTCTCAGTCTGGGCAAGATGTTCCCTGAACTCATCGGCATTGGTCTAGGGAGCGGTCTTACAAAGAACCCGGCATGGAAAGCCGCCTTCGCTGACTCCGCGGGGGCCCTGTACGTCGAAGGCCTTGCACCGTTGAGCCAATTCGGCAAATTTTGCGCGGTCCTCCTGGCTCTGGGTATTGTCGCCAACAACGTCGCTGGAATCTATGCTGCCGCATTGTCCTTCCAGCTGCTTGACCCGCGATTCGCCCGCGTCCCCCGTGTATTCTGGTGTACCATCTCCACCATCATCTTCACCGTGACCGCGATCGCGGGTCGCGCCCACTTGCTCCAGATCTTCATCAACTTCCTCTCGCTGATCGGGTACTGGACCATCATTTGGATCACCATGACTCTGGAGGAGGAGTTTATTTTCCGCAGGAAGCGCGGTTGGTACGATTGGAGCGCGTGGAACACTCGCGAACTTCTTCCCGTTGGACTCGCGGCCATTACGACCTTCGTGATCGGATGGGTCGGGGCCGTCATGTGCATGGACCAAGACTACTACACAGGCCCGATCGCTGCCTTGATCGGGGACGGTGCGGATGTAAGTCGCTTTTGGTTCTTCTGTCGGATTGCAACGTCGCGACTAACCTTTACTCCTCAGATTGGCCTGCCTGTCGCCGCGTCTTGGACAGCTGTCATTTATCCTGGGTTGAGGTATCTGGAGTTGAAGTATATCGGACGGTAGTCCTCCGGGAACGATTGCAAAGGAAGTTCTGAGCGAAGACGTGGGCGGAGTATTTGAACGCTTTTACGGGATCGACAGGAGTTCTCACGTTGGTTTTGAATCGCGAGTTTTACCAAGACAGCAATGAAGTGCACTCAGAGGTAGAACATGGCCTTTCAGTAGAGTGAGAGCAAAAGACCACACTATTCCCTGCCAGATTTACAAGCTCTAATATCTCTTTTTTGTTTCGATCCGATTCGCTTCTTTGACGATCTTCTCTCGCACGCACCTATTGAATACTGCTGTTCCGGAAGCACCAGTGTGTCGGTCAATTAGTTATGAAGAAGATAACATGCGTACAAGGCCATAGGATTCGCTAGATGTCTGTCTCCCCATTACAGTCTTGCAGTTGCCACCAGACCCAAGCCGAGTTTCTTTGAGTCTGAGCGAGAAGCCCTTCTTGCAGCAGCTTCTTCTTCGGCCTGGAGCAGTGTCCAACATCTCTCGACATCCAGCTCGCAGTTATAATCAAACAACCACTTTCCAACACCACCACTCCTCCAAGCGAACGGATCGTCCCCCTGCTTTAACCCCGAGGGCACTGCTCCATTCCCTTGAATGCGATATGCGTCCTCAAAGGCCTTCATCTTTCCGTCGCGCTCCCTCTGCTCGGGACCGTCTGGGAGGTGATAGAGGTACTGGCTCTCGTAGGCCTTCTCGACGACCCGGCGAGTGCGCGGTTTTCGGCACATCTCGTACACTTTCAGGGCATGCAGTTTCTCTTGAGCCGTCGAGCCAGAAGATATGCGCGAGAGGCAGAGGCCCAGGACAGAGGCGTCTTCGATGGCCATGCCGGCGCCGCTCGCGAGATAAGGGAGAGTGGCGTGGACGGAGTCGCCCAGCAGGACGAAAGTCCCGCTAGGGTGGTACCAAGACGGGGAGCTCGGGGTGGGTGTCCGGGTACAAAGGCGCCATTTCTTGACCTGTGAACAGGTAGATAGAATCTTTCGGACCCTAAGGTTGGGGTTGAGTGGTTAGTCTAACGTACAAATGTGCGTTTTGACCAGAGCACAACATGCTGCAGCTCCTGAGTTCCACTTACCTCGGATCCCAATCTTTGAACAGAGCTTGCATGGATTCGACGTTGCCTTCTTGGGTGACGACATCATCCGGTAGGTCATCGGGAACGAGGAGGACCATGTTGAACTGTTTGCCTCCCCTCAAGACATACGAGACGACATGACATTCAGGTCCAATCCAGTAGTTGACCTGCGGATCCAAGACGAAATCTCTCAGTTCAGGATCCTTTAGCATGTCGTCGGTGTTGAGGAGAACTCGGTACGCCATGTCGCCCGACTTTGCCGGAGGGTCATCTCGCCCAACCAGGAGATCTCGACAGTGGCTTCTGATGCCGTCGGCGCCGACGACGAGATCTGCGTTCATGGAGACGCGTTTCCTTTTCTCGCCTTGTCGCACTATCACAGTCGCGTAACTTCCGTCCGCTGCGACCCTGACATCGGTCACCCGCGAGTCGGCCCGCACCTCGGCACCCAGTTCCACCGCTCGGTCCCAGAGACATTGATGCAGACTGACGCGATGCAGATCCCAGTACGGACTGCCCCATTCCTCGCGTGTCGACTTGTGGATATCCCAGGTTGAGATGGTCTCACCTCGCCAGCCGATCATGTTGCAGAGCCGCGGCGTCGTCGCACATTTGCTGAGCTGTTCGCCCATTCCCCAAGAGATGAGGACTCGAGACGAGTTCGCCAACGTCTGGAGACCTGCCCCGATCTCGCCCATTGCGGGCGCGGATTCGAGGACAGTAACTTCATGGCCAGCAAGCCGGCATGATATTGCCGTCGCGAGCCCGCCCAGCCCGGCGCCCACCACGATAATCTAATTAGACGCTTGTTAGGCGCTGTACAGCGGCCAGAGAGAGATGACTTGCCTTCAGCCTGTTGGCAGCATCTCGTTCAATCTGCATTCTCATAGGGATGGATGAGAACTCCATCTCTGGCAGCCAAGACACAAGGAAGTCAAAGAGAGGGAGCACGCCAAGTACGGGCGAGGCGAAGGCTAAGCAACGAGGAGTCCCGGGACTCTAATACTAGCCTGGAGTCATGCATGCGAATAATATATGAAATGAGGATGTACGAAATGAGCTCCGGCCAGCCGAAATGCGTCCTCAATTCCATCCTGACTGGAGCGATCCAACCCATTCGACGACGCGTCGCACAACGATCGGGCGAAGCTGGACGGGAAAAGGTAATAGAAACTCCACAGGAGGGAGGCCATGTCGGCTTCTGAGAGAGTCGACATTGTCGCACAGCGGCGGTCATGCCATCCAGCGTCTCTGTGAAGGAGAAACCCGATTGTGTTGGTCAACCGCCGCGAAATAAAAGTGTCGGACTTTCTCGACTCGGCCATATTATGAGGATGATAGGCGCGATTCTGATTGTCCAATCAGAGGCTCTGTGCGGAGCCGTGGCGCTTGAGTTACCATATTCGAATCGAGGCGGATCCATACCGCTAACCTAATTTCGGCCTCAATTTCTGTCGACTGAATTCTCCCGCCACGTATCAGTCGTGAATCTCCGATGAGCTCCTACCAGATGCAATTCGCAATGCCCCATACGGTCTTGTTCTCTGTTGACTGCTGGGAAATAATTCATCTCCTTTAGAGCGCCGATTTCCAATATGCTGCGTGATCAGACGCCTCCCGCTCGCTCTGCTAACCATTGACAGTGTGGCCTTGGCTCGAATATAAACGCCTGTGATATGAGGCCGCTGTGTGATTTCCACCATTATGGGCCGGAGAACCTCGAGCACTATGCCGCCTCGACCGAACAATGCCGCTTGTAGACGCAGTGTGCTGTCGTGCGTCAGGTGTCGGAAGAGGAAATCCAAGGTATATCATGCCACGTGCTTGCTACGTGATTGATGGAGCCGGTGAGAGCGTCTGGATACATCGATCATGACTGACATGGATATGTGCAAAGTGCGACAGACAGCTACCGTCATGTTCCCAGTGTGTCGCTGTGGGTGCGGAATGCAGGGGCTTCAATTCAGCCCGCGACGCCGCCGTTCCACGAAGTATCGTACACCATCTTGAGAATGAGATTGCCAGCCTCGAGTTGAAATTGGCAGAACTGGGCTGCGACGAGGCTGAGATCCAGGAACTTGATCACAACGAGCCTACTTCTGTCCTTGGTATGACTGCTATGATCGATGAGCCGCCGCAGATCTCCTCCTCGGACACGGAGATCAGAGAGCAAAACGTGGCGGTCGAACATGCGATGAGCAGTCCCACTTCGAATACACCCTCGCGCCATCGGAGAACATCGAGCTCCCGAGATGCGACCAAGGAGCGTGTGATTGCCAGCGCCGAAATGCAATCGATGATCAATGCGACCTTGCCAGTCGGCCCGTCGCTAACAGATGTAGTACGGCGAGTCCGGATGGGACTCACACCGTCGCTTGTGCTCTCACCTGAGGCGAAGGAGCAGGCCCAAAGCAAGACGCCGGCCCAGAATCGCGATAGCGAGCCCGAGGCCGATGTGTCGATCTTGGCAAGCCTTCCGTCTCACGTGGTCCACACGTTGGTCAAGAAGTACGTGCAGCGCATGCTCCCCGTCCACCCCTTTCTCTACGAGCCCACGATATGGGAACAGCTCGACCGCGTGCTCTTGAAGATCCCACGATCTGAAGGGGGACGGTCTTGCCCACAGACGGTACGGCTCGACTACGACTTCCTCGTCATCTACTTAATTCTCTCCGTGTCTACAACTTTGGGCAGCGCAAAGGTAGGGCACGGTGCCCGGTGCATGGCCTTCTCGGAAGCGCTCTTCAAGGAAGGGATTCGTCACCTCTCGCAGAATGCGGCGTATCCTTCAGACATGGCTTGGATCCAAGTGACGTTGCTGATTCTGCAGTACGCATCCATCAACCCAAAGCTGGGAAATGTGTGGATCCTCAGCGGGTTCGCCATGCGCAACTGCCTCGAGCTGGGTCTGCATCGTGAAGTGTCGGAGAGTATGGGTCTGGACCCTTTGACTGTCGATTTACGCAGACGCATCTTTTGGGCCGCATACTGTATGGATCGGTCCATTTGTGCGGCGCTCCAGAGGCCCCTGTCTATTCCCGACCCGGCGATCGATACGAGCGTCATGTCAGTGCTCGAAGATCGGTGCATCACTTCCCGTGGACTCGATCACCGAGGACAGGCAACCAAGAAGCTGGCCATTCGCTGGATCGAATATCGACGAGTGCAATCCACCATCATCGAAGTCCATTTCCAAGGCCGCCTGCTGGAACCCCAACAGACATGGCAGGAGTGGCTGGCGGCAACAGAGCGACGGCTATGGGAATGGTACCAATCCGATCTCCCACACGACGGGTGGACCGAGTTCGCGTTAATGCACGGTCTGGTAATGTTGCACCGCCCTTCGTCTCGCGTGCCCTTGCCATCCTCCACAAGCATGTCCACGGCTTTCGAGGCCGCCTGCTCGTCGGCCAAGAGCTGCCGCGGGCAGATCCTGTCGGGATATTTCCCGCGCCCATGGCTTGCGGCTCATCACACCTTCGAAACGGCCCTGGTAGTGCTGTTCTGTTTACGACACAACTTCGAGGCGATTGCGCTGCAATTCAGCCCCAATGAGATCTTTGACATGACAAAGCTCTTCACTTCGAACCTGCTGACTATTTCGAGTCAAGGCTGGACCGAAGTCTCCGAGTATGCGGCCATTTACGAGAGACTGCTGGGTCCACTACTCCATGCCATTTTCACGCGATCCAGATCCGTCTCGACGGCGTATACTCCAGAGCAGGAGGAGGAACTGGCTCGGCTGCTGTACCCCAGTCCCGCACATCCTCAGGAGCTGCGATTCGCGGATGTAAGCGGCGCCAGCGTCACCGAGGATCTGTTCTCCTTCGACGCGGGGGTATTCAACTGGGAGGACGATTTGCTTGCGAACGACACGGATTCCTTCCCTTTGTTGTTATTCTAGCGCGTAATCTTTACCCTGAGAAGGAGACTGTACGTTCCGACGGCCTGGTAGGTGTCGCCGACGCACGAGTAGAGTACGTACGATCGTGTACATGATTACTCGGGATCCGTCGTGTTCGATCCGGGTCTTCGGCCCTGTTTCACGACAAACCCAAACGTACAAGAAGAGTGGATCTGGGCGATTCCCGCATATCGGAGATTGGCGCTCAGGTATTTCATCTTTGTACACAGAACGAGTGTAAGCCTTATTGGCTGTGAAGGCGCTGATCCATTGTTGCTGAGGTATGTATATCGGGGTCGACCGCCATGGCCTGGCTTTTGACCTGTTGCATCTAGAGAACGACCATTTGGCCTTTGGGTTCTAGAGCGAACCCCCCGAGAAGATCCATACAAGACCAGTTCACTGTTCCAATATTGTCTGACAGACTGGGTGAATACGTGGACTGATTAACGCAGCAGCAAATGGAACGTATCGACACCCACAGCCATGCCATCCCGGCTCGATGGCGGCAGCATTGTATGGACTTGGGCTATGGCGACACTGACGGCATCTCGATGGTACAGGTAAGCAAGCAAGCCCCTCAGCTGGACTCTATATTGTCGCCGAAGAGTCCCAAGCGTGGGCAAGGAAGGACCACTTGTCAGGCTGACTATGAACCAAATATCAGGACTGGACGGTCGAGGCGCACCTGGCGACCATGGACAAGGCCAAGATCTCGAAGAGCATATTGAGCATCACCTCGCCCGGCACGCACCTGAAACCCGGGGACGACGCCTTTGCCCGCCAGCTGACTCGCGAAACCAACGAGGACCTCGCCGAGATCTGTGCAGCACACCCGGACCGATTTGCCTTCTTTGCAAGCCTGCCACTACCGGATGTTGAGGGCTCACTCGCCGAGATCGACTATGCCTTGGACCGACTCGGTGCCGTCGGCTTCTCGGTCATGACGAACGCACACGCCGTGTACCTGGGCGATCCCGCACTGGACAGGGTCTTCGAGAAGCTGAACTCGCGACGCGCCGTGGTCATGATGCATCCAACCTGCTGCCGCGTGAATCTTCCCGTCGCAAACGGTGTGGGTGTCGCTCCGCGGGCGGTCGCTCCGCTGACGCAGTACCCGCGACCCATGCTCGAGTTCCTGTTCGACACGACCCGCGCCGTCAGCAACCTGATCCTTTCGGGCACCGTGGCGCGATACCAGTCCATCACCTTCGTCGTCCCGCATTGCGGCGCCGCCTTGCCGCCCGTGATCGAGCGATGTGTCGGGTACACGCCCCGCACTGTCAGTCCCAGCGTGCCCATCACCAGCGACGACGTCAAACACCTGTTCAAGACGCGCTTCTTCTTCGACCTCGCGGGATACCCATTCCCGGACCAGATCCACGGCCTGCTGCGCTTCACGGAGCCGTCCAGGCTTCTGTACGGGACGGACTACCCCTTTTACAAGGCCGAGGCGGTGTATCGGCTCAGCGGGATCATGGAGCAGCGGGCGCCGGAGATATTTGACGACGAGACGAGAAAGGGCATCTTTGGCGCGAACGCGAGGAGGCTGCTATGGCCTAAATTGAAAAGCCATGCTTAGGATCAGGAGAACAGGGTAGACAGGAAAAAGATTGAGGCGCATGGTCAACCATTCAACTTTCTCGCGCACATTGTCTGATTAGTATCGACGTATGCATAATTCCCTGCTTGTGGACCTGATTGATCTCTTGTCAAGAGGTCACTTTGAGTGATGCAAGATTTAATGTCATGCATGAGTTAGACGTCCTTCGAATGATGTCCACCAACACATTTATTCAATCGAATGACTTTGAGGGCTCTAGTCTAATCTCAAGCTATCTCATGTCCTGTCATGTCATATTTCTCATCCTGATTCCTGAACTATTCAACAAGTCACAACAGGATCCAAATGTACCTTCAGTACCCTATCACAGCAGATCTTGACCTTGTCCTCGACATTGTCCTTGACCTTGACCACGAAGATATTTGCGCGCGGTGAGAAGGATGGGTGTTGTCGGCTTGGCGAAGTAACAAAGAGTCCAGAGTTAATGCACTTCACCTCATGTGGGTTGGCCGAACAGGTGAGGCAGAAAAGAACTGCCTCATGCGCCTGAAGCTCCTCATAATTCTTTGAGTCATCCTTTCTCCCGCCCACATTTTTTCCTTTTTTTTTCGATTTGTCTCCTTTTGATACCGACCCAGGAGTTCCATCTTAGTGCAAACTGACATCGAAGCGGAGGGCTTCTGCGTGTCGCTGGTGGCTCCCAGTGCGCTGCAGCTGCATGCGAATCCTGCAGCTTGTTTGATACGCACCTAGAGTCATATCTGTGGTATAAGTTAAACTTGTCTGGAATGAGCATGGAGTGCTGCCAAATAACAGAATATCGCGAATGGAAATCAGAAATTTCATGTGTTGTGTGTTTAAAAGTCTCGATTGCTTTCTCTTCAATTGGGGGAGCATCATGCCCGCCAGTATCACACCCGAATGTCATACTGCTGGTTTCCGATGTGCTCGTACTCGTGAATAGTCCCTCATGGCCTCATTGCTCATCTTCGTCACTGACGACTGGGGTGGAAAAAGAAAATCCATCCCTTATCAGCACTCTAGGTGATCTTGCCCCGACAGAGGCTGACAGGATTTCGCGGTGGCACGCAGAATGCGTAAAGCGCTTACAAGAGATCAGAACGATACATGAAGGTTAACGCGGAGATGGCAGAGATTTCGTGTGTTTTGAATTTCATCGAATTGGCTTGAGAGAATGAGGTTTGACGCGAGGGCAATGAGCCACTCGATATCGAGTTTGGCCTTCACGTGATGAAGTTCAGGTGGGTTTAGTGGGGCAGGCGAGATCGCCCCATTCCTCCAAGAGGCGTCGTTGATTGGCTGCAAGCTGTGGCTTAGCGGCTGCCGATTCTTCCGCAAAGGCTGCGTTTGCGTCACTGACTCTCACAGCCTCACATCATTCGCATTGCCGCCACGCCTTGTTCACTTCCTTCTCAACCTGTCTCTCGGTTTCTGCACGCATTAGAAGGTCAGAGGCCTATATCTCCTTCTTCTCGCATTCGGTCAACCGTCACCATTCCTACCTACGACCACCACCTCAGTCACCATGTCGGCGCCTCAAGAAGCCCCGCCTTCGTATGCCCAGGCCACCGGCTCCTCAACAACATCATCCAAACCTCAAGCGTCGTCACATCTCGAAGTCCCCTCTTCGAAGAATGGGATACCAGCACAAGCCCGTAGGTCGATGGAGGACCTACATCGACCGCTTCCTGAAGGCTGGGTAAGACAATACGACCCTAAGGAAAATCACCAGTTCTTCGTCAACACAAAGGTGGACCCGCCAAAGTCCTACTGGGAGCATCCTCTCGATATCCCCGACGTAGTCAATACCCTTAGCAGTGAAGAACGCGAGAGGTTACAGGCCGAGGAGGATAAGCTGAGGAGGCACTCGGACCATTCGCCAGCGCATTCAGTGGATCACTCCGAAGAAGAGCACTACCCACCAGATTTGCCGGCAAGGCCGACGGGCTCAAAGGAAACCACAACGCAGAAGAAGAGCTTCGGTGAGAAGTTCAAGGACAAGGTCACTGGTTCGACGCATGACGAACGAGTCCGTGACCGTGCTCGACGAGCCGAGGAAGAAAGACAATACTACGAAGCGCATATGAAGCTCAGACGAGCAATGCAACAAGCACAAATAACTGGCCAGCCACAATTTTTCGCCAGAGATCGGGACGGCAAGAACATTTACATTGAGCCGCCAGGGGGTCCAGGCTACGGATATGGCGGGTATGGACCACAAGGATATGGTATCAATCCGTACGCCCGTGGAGCCTATGCCGATCCTAACGCTCGCTTTATCCGACCTGGGTATCCCTACAGTCGTCCATATGGCACCTATCCGGGTGGCGGGTATGGATTACCGATTGCTGGTGGGCTGCTCGGCGGGATGCTGCTGGGTGGATTGATGTTCTAAACATGCCCAAGCCTTGGTTGCGGGAACGGATGGAGGTATCCTGATGGGACGGGAACGAGATTATGACTTACAGCACTTCAGACTTCATTGATATCCTCGTAGCACGGCGTTTCAGTATGACAATTCCTCCAGACATTCGGTTTACCTTTTCATTCTTCTCTGCACCTCGCATGGTGCAACGTGCGCGACAACATCCATGTCCACCATCATCGCCTGCCCCCCAGATTCCCAATCCCAAGGATTGTCCAACCTGGTCTTGTGGTATGGCATCTACTTTGCCGCATTTCTCATCATTGCTCATATCGCCTCTTAACATGATGCCTAGTGATACGGAAAACTTTTTCCATCCTTCTCCGCCCGCGTGTGCTGAGATTCAGATCGACGTTGACCAATGCTTGGTCGATCTGGGCACTTATGCCGGACGAATCTCGCGCCACGAAATGTCAGACACAGAATTTTTCATTATGTCTAAACAGTCCAGTAGATGTGTTCTCTTCCTCGCATGTGCTGCGCGCGGATCAAGAGAACTGCAGGTACTGTTGTTACTCATCTTAGCCGGCACATTCAATCCTGTCGTCTACACGCACTGTTTACAGAGTTCGCGGAGGGACGGCGTAGGGATCTCTGCCAAGAGAAGTAAGGCCCCGGTGCTCCGTAGCCATATCCATATTGTTAAAGATTACGCTCACCGACGCCAGGACATGCAAAATACTGAAGATGAGACATCGTGCAACTCTATTAGATAGCTCAGCCAAGGTGAGAGTCGGTCAGCAAACGTAGCTTGGTTTAAGCGGTAATTGATTTGAAGCACAGAGCCACTTTCGTTACTCTGCTGGAAATAGGCTTCAAATGACGGCTGAATATGCTCGCAACACATGCGACATTCGATGTCAATTTAAAATGACCGCGGCTAAATGCTTGGGCCGCCACCAACGTTGTTTCTGCCTTTCCTCTCTACTTGTTATTGTCGATCTGCTCAACCACATCTCATGCCGTCTTCTGGAACCCCTCGTCTTCGAGGCTTTGATGACGCATTCGTGGGGGCCAAGGAGGGTGGATGTTATTGCGCATGACCTACCAAGCAGCAAGTTTTGTACAGTGGCTTGAACATCGGCCTTTCTGGATCCCCGTATCTGCGGCTTCTGAAGGCAAACACGGACGCCCTCCTCTGCCAATGGTCAAGATACGAGGCAGGATCTGTCTTGTCTCTGCAATTCGTCCGTCGCTCTGTCCAAGACCCTTGCACGCCCAACGATGGCTGAGGTCTTGATTCGTGGTTCAGCCGCAATACCACATCCATATTTCGCTGGGCGTCTCACTCACATCGACATGTGAACTCGACGCCCCAGAACGGACCCTTATAAAAGCTTCCCTCGACCCACATTCATGGAGCGAGGCACGAGATCTTTTACCTTCTCTACACGGATCCGCACGTGCCAAGTTGAGAATCATCTGAGCTGACTTGAAATCGCTGTTCGAGTCGCGTCCCATCGCGCCGTACAAGCTCAATGGACGAAACCGCGGGCCGAGATGGCCTCACAAGGCTGAAAGAACTAGTCGGTAAATTCGAGACTGGTGCTGAATTCTCCGAGTTGCCGCAAAACAAAGACTATCCAATCGTCCTAGGTACATGTTCCCCCCACGACAATGGCATGGCCTCCTCTGAGCAGTGACAGTGCCTGGATTTTCCGGATGGGGGCCTCCACTATTGGGAGCAGTCAATTACTGGGGTGGCGTCGAAGACCTGCCGCGTATGTTGCAAGAGCAAGGTTACACGGTGATCGTTGCGACCATTGCCCCTCTATCCTCGAATTGGGAGAGAGCATGTGAGTTGTATGCACAGCTCGTCGCGGGGCGGTAGGATCTGTTCCACTGTACCTCTGAGTTAGATTCCAAGCTGAAAGGATTGCCAGTTTCAGCACAGTGAATCCCAATACCGGCGAACTTGTCGAGCAATTTGACCTCGATGTCGACTACGGCCGATACTTCGGCAACGACCCCAGCACCGCTGCAGTGACTGCACAGACGCATGGACGTCGCCGAGCGATCCTCCTTCCTGCGGCTTCATGGAGAGACTTGCATTGGACATGGGGAGATCAGAACAAAGCACATTTCATTTGCCACTCTCAGGGCGGCAATACAGTCCGGCAGATGATCGCTCTCCTCAAAGATGGAGCTAACGATGTCCATCCTGGATATTTTCCAGAAAACAAACAAGGTAGAGACGAGTGGGTGATTTCAGTGTCAACATTGGGGACGCCGTACCAAGGGACTACAATCACAGATGTCATCCAAGACCTTCTGTCGGTGGGTCCTCACCAAGCTTGGAATGTTTCGAAAGGCTAACCAGAATGACCCAACAGAAATCGGGAAATGACACGGTAAGGCTTCTTGGCAGGCTGTTCGCAACGTTGTCTTTCCGCGGCCCTGCTGAAAGAGCATATGACTTGCAGCTTGACCATTGGGGCATTTGCCGTGAAGCTGGGGAATCTTTCCCGGACATGCGTGCACGGCTCGAGAGGAGGGGAGGTCCGGTCGAGACGTGGCTTGCTTCCCAACGCAATGCTTTCTACGACAACAGCATCGAAGGCGTCGAGGCTCTCAACGACGAGGCCAAGGGCCCATCGAAGCATATCTGCTACTTGACATTCTCCTTTCATTGCACAAATCCGTTCCCATCCTGGCCGCCGTGGGTCCCAGCCGCGCTCTCGTCGTTCCCAATATCGATCTATGACATCATCCGGGCTCTTCTTCGACCACTCCCAGGCGGCGATATAGCGATGTTTGCTATTGACAGCATTCGTCAGAGTTTGACCAGCGTCATACTTTGGCCCTTCTTTCAGACACTCGTGACTTTCCATGATTTCCTCAAGTGGGCGACCACTCATGTCGCCACCAGGCTTCTGGAAGATCTCGATTTCAAGCTGAAGCTACCGGGGCCGGGCAGCTACGTCCCACGGAAAGACGTTTTCCCACTGATGTTGCCGACTGTCTACGCAATGGGGGGCTACGATCCATTGAGAAATCCTGCACTTTCAGCCTCGAGGCGGGAAATAATCCGCAATAACTCGGAAATGTGGCTTCTCAACGACGGAATTGTGAACACTGTCTCAATGCGTGGACCCCGAAACGACGACATCATCCACGATGTATCGGAGGCAAACCCATTTCCACTGGCGAAGCTGGGAGGAGCTGACGACAGAAAACTGGTGCGAGGGAAGTATTGGCACTTCGGTGTTACTGGCTATCTTGATCATGCGGACGAGATTGGTGTCTGGATCGATTCAGACACGGTAAGTTTGCGATGATCCACCCAGGCCAGCTGACTCGGCGCAGTTAAGGCTAATTCTGCCCAGGGGAAGAATCTGAAAGACATGTACAAGAATCTTGCAGCGCTGGTCTCAAGGATTCCACCTGCATGAAGGTATACGAAGTGCTCGGGTGCGGATGGGAAGGTGGCAACGTCCAGCCCACGGTAAAAGCTTAACACGTTTATGTCAACGTTCATTTACAAGGGGCAAGGTGATTATGTTTTCTTCGGCGAGTAGTACTGCTTTCTTTTGTTCCTGTCCAGATATCTCCGGAAGACACTCATCGCAACATACAGCATTTACAGATGGTGGTCGCAATCGTCACCCTCGCCGGACCAGGAATAGGACCAACTCTCCAGTGAAACGCTGCGTAACAACCATAATCCGTGGATGCACATAGCAGGGTGCCAAGATTTCCTGTTGAGATACTGACCGAAGTCGACAACGGAAGAACGCCCTGAGTTGCCAGAATATCCCCAGGCCTTCATGCCTGGCGATATTCGATTCCAAAACTCGACAGAAGTGGCACAAGGTTTAATTACCGGTTTCGCCAGCGAGATTCGGTTGTCAATGGCAGGGGTTCAGCCTTGTCCGCCATCTCCGCCACTTCATTGGCGGAACAGCACCGATGCGTATTACGTGCATACAGAGATCACGAGCGGTTCCGGTCAGCCTCGTCAGATTTGGCTGACAAGTGCAGTTGTGATCAAGTCATCCGCCGTCTACGAGGTAAATGGCCTTGAATGGTCGACCACAGCCATTCTCGTGTCTGACTCCATCCTGCGTCTCTTCAACATGTCCAGATGTCCACACGGACATGCTCCGGGAACTGGCTTAGATCGGAATATTCCCGGGTTCGCACCTTCGGTCTGACGACTTGCATACCTTCTTCCATTCAGCTCAACAATAACGTCGCTCCGGTGGGAGAATACGAAAGCTGAGCAGGTCGACAGGGTTGACGAGAAAGGAAGATTACATTTCTGACTGTTCTGTCCTGTGAACGTGATGGACGCCCACTCCATGGACTTCAGCTCTTGCCCAAGCTGGATTTCAGCCATTCAGTCATGTGAGGGGATACGAGTGGTATGCGGGTATAAAGGTCCAAGGCAGGGCAGGAATGCACGGAGCGGCGCGAGAAGGATTCAAGTCTCTTCTGCTACAGAAGGACCCGAATTCAGACTTCAGATAAGCGCAGCAGGGCCACCACCCGGACCTAAAGTGCATAACCGAGAATACCGTGGGCAACAGACCGAACTTGGCGAGATGCATTTCCCGCTCATCACTCTCGCCCTGATGGCGCTCTGGACTCTCGAAGTCTCCGCCGCGGCTTTGCGTGATCGTGTTCGAGTAAGTCCCACACCCTCCTGATACGAACACTCGCACTCCGCGGAGTTGACCCTTTATGCTTCGGTAATTGTACTTTTAATACTAATTGACTCACATTCATTCAGTCCACACCCCTCCAGGATGTCTGCAATCTGCCTGAAGGCGAACCACTAGGTGCGAGCTGCAACGAGTCTTCTATCGACTCGGTCGCGCGAAGGGTATGTACATCTATATCGGTATCAGTCTCTGTCTCTGTTCCGGGACTCCTTGCAATCTGATTGATTGGATTTCCTGCAATTAATTGATCTCCCCAGCGGCATAACCTCCCACGCGGCGTGACTTCCATAACAGTCGGCACGGGCACCACACCCTCCGGATCCACCACGGCCCTAACACTTCCATTCTCGGCCAATCTCAACCCCTCAGGTCCGCTCTCGGGATCGGGCACTCTCGTCCTCTCCGCACCCATCAGATCCGCCAATCTTATCGCCGGCGACGTGTCGCAGTCATCAGAGGGGGCGTTCTCCGAGGCCGCCTGCGACTTTTATACCAGCAGCAGCGCCACGAGTGATGACGGGGTGGTAGCTTGTACAGGGGATGTGGTGGGCAGCGGGAGTACGAACTCGGAGGTCGGGTTGAGTGCACTGGCGGGGTGTGTGGCGTGTAGTTACACGACTGGGGAGGAGGGGAGTTTCAATGAGTGAGAGCGCGAGCAAGCGAGCGAGTTAGTGAGCGACTGAGCGAAACGAGCGCATGGACGGATGGGTGGAAGGGTGGAAGGGTGGAAGGGTGGAAGAGTGGAAGAGTGGAAGAGTGGAAGAGTGGAAGAGTGGAAGAGTGGAAGAGTGGAAGAGTGGAAGAGTGGAAGAGTGGTGGGTGTCTGGACGAGTGTGCGCATGAAATCCCGAGTTTTTAACTGACCAAATTTTCAGAGATGTCATGATGCGTGATAAGACGCGTGATGCTTTGCATCGTATATTATTTGGATGGGTCCCCGCCAAGTCCTCTTGACTTCCCTACTCTCTGTTTGCTGTACTGTATATCCGCTGGCTGGTTTTTGTTCATGTTCATGTTCATGTTCTTGTCCATGTTCTTGTTCTGGTTTGCCAACATCAACACCAACATCAACACCAACACGAACGTCAACGTCAATGTCAACACCATGGTTCTAGCGTCGCCCAGGCTCTCCCCCTTCTTTCCCGCTTTGACCAAGATGCAGGATCCAAGCATAGACCAGTGGGAAAGCACTCGATGCAGAACGCGAGAGACCACTGATCTTCTGAATCCTGTGTGGCGAGTAGCGACGGGTATTCGGGCTGGAACATACAGTATCAGGCAGGGATCCTTCTTCCGAAGAGCACACTGAACATATGTACAGTTCGGGGAGGGGAGAAGGATACCGTGACCTCGGAAGACTTATGAGATGGGGCCACTGAGCCTGAGAAGTGTCTCCGAACCACATACTTTACTGTGGTATGAGGGTGTTTACAGATTCACCGTTCACCGCTCCTTCAAAGCAGAGACTCCAGCTGGTATTCATGGTACCGTAAGTTCGTTCAATTACACCAGAGGAGAAATATACACAAGGGCAGAATTGTACCATTGCAAGGCATTCCCACACCAAACACTGATCGAAAGCCGCATTGACTCATTGAGTTGCACATGTCCCTCGTAATCGACCGTTATAATGTCACCAAAGTGCTACCCCCTAACCCACTTCGACCAGCAGAGTAGAGTGGCGTCGCGCCAATCTCCTTCAGCCGTGATCTTGGGTCGACCATCTCCTGGTTCGTGAACCAAAGGGGCGTCCAGAGCTGCCGCCGTGTCGACAGGACTCAACGTCACTTTACCCCTCAGACGCCAGAAGCCCCAGAAGGTAGGCGTGATCATCAGGACGATAACAGTAGTGACTGCCAATGAGCCTGCCCAATAGCGATAGAGAACCTTGTATCGCAGTACTGGCGCGGTGCGTTTCCCCAGGCACCGTCTGATAGGGAGGAAAGAAATCAGGTGGAGTCATATAGTATTCGGACTCGTTATTGAAAAACGCTAGCCATGAACATGAGGTTCCTGAGCCGATCGCGCATTTCGTCCTCAATGACAGTGTGATCGTCGTCCTGCATGTAGTAGAGGGTGTTGTTGCAGAATTAGGGGTCCGAGAGCGAAGTAGGGCCGTAGTCGTCAGGGTTTGGATCGTACATGATCTTGGCCATCTCTAGTAATGCAGTCTCAGCGTGCCTGCCAGACGCATTTATGCTCCACATGCTTCCATCCCAGGTCCACTCCATCTCCGCATTGAACACCGTCTGCTGGTAATGCAACACGCCACCGAATGTGCTAGAGCCGAGGTCAATATCGGATGCTGATTTCAGATCGGACACAAATGTGTCATTGTCGTAGGTGCTGTTGACATTGAGGCTGACAAGGTTGAAGCCGGGATTCCAATCCTTTTTCTTCTTAAGAATAGCATGGTCTCCAAGCCGATCGGCAGGGAATAGGGCGAATGGATATGAAATCCGTGCTGCTCGGAATGTACAGTTGCGCACAAGATACTGGGAGTCGCAATCAGCGAGATATTTGAGCACGTTGGGTTAATTGAAGACATTGGTTGTTTCGACATCCCAGTCGATGCGAGTGGAGAAGACAGTACGGGTTAGGGTCTGGTTGGGATGATCTTTCGGGTCCATGTTGTAAGGCACACATGAAGTGGCGCAGCTGGGCCAGAAGCCAGGGGCGACAACCCTGCCAGTACACGTGCCTGAAGCATCCCAGCCTCCGCACAGCCCTGGGTCAGGATCGTCCGCATAGTTCAGGCATGTGTCGTCCCAGTAAGTGCCCCTGTCACCATCAATCAGCTGCACCGCCTCGCCAAACACATCACCATAACGACTGAACGAGCCTCCAGAGAGGTAGGCGGAGAATCTGGTTGGCTACTCGTTCACCATGCCGACATTGATTGGGATGTCAGTAGTACTGAGATAACTAGGTACGGTGGTGATGGCGTTCTGCAGCAGAAAGCCAGCAGACCAGTCAGCGAATCATCCTTTGCTGGGTTTTGAAGAACCAAGCTGTGGTCACCCCCTCTGAAAGTGCAATGTGGAGGAGCACGCTGTTGCCAGAGAGAAGGGCGGACAGCCATGACGCGGGCTTCAATATGATTCCTCCTTCTGCACGTCGCCGTTGACGACGTTGAGCACGATCCAGGAGAACAAGATTGTCATTCCAGAGAGGATCATGGCGCAAAGATCCAGCCACGGGACATATTGTGCCTTGGCCACATCTTGTATGTTGACCTCGCCGTTGTCTGCGGACCAGGGGAAGAATCCTGCTGCCCAGATGCGCGTTCCATTGAGCATACGATGGGCAATGGATGGTCTCTTTTCTTCTTGGCTATGTTCACTCACAGGCTGAGAGGTTACCGTAACAGTCTCGTCTACACCCATATCGACAGTCGATGTAGAGGCAGAGACTTGGAGCTAGAGTCGCTTACCACGGAACAAAGGATGGGAAGCGCAAGTACTCCGTCGAGGCTCTGGGATCTCGGACTTCATGACAACTTTATGCCAACATTCAGGAGCGTCTGGGAGAGCCTGCAGCACCGTGGCTGGCTGCAACTACCTGGCAGGCTAGCCAGCAAATGGACCATTGTCCCTCCGTCGCCGCCTGGTCCAGTACTCACGTTTCGCTCATGACGCATCGTAGCGACCAGTGTTGACGTTCTTCCAAGAAACACAACGGACATTCAGCCATTGTTGTCGAATCGAGGCCAGGTGACGTTCAGCTTG